GGAGGGGCCGAAGAAGGAGATAATTTCCTATTTATTGTTTCTTTTCTTTCCTCTTATTGCTTCGGTCTGAATTTCTGGTTTTTCGATCGGGTATTTGAGGCAATGATGTGGCTGGGGCTCGTGTCCTTGTCGTCGAGCTGGTGGCAACCTTCGGTGTTCTTCGATGAGTTTTGTTGGATGTGAACGCTACTTTCACCTTATGGACGGTCCGTGCGAGGATGTTTATCCGGATTTTCGCGTATCAACGATTCGCGGTTTGCCAGCGTTGTGGTTTTATGAAGATGAATTTTTGCATCTTGCTAAACCTTTTGAATTTGCGTTGGTGGGGAAGTTCCCCTTAAACGGTCGGTTTTGGATGCAATTCGTAGATTTTTTTTCAACCTTAAGTTATCAGGTGAATTTTTCGTGACTTTACTGGATCAATCTAATGTTTTGATAAAGCTTTCAAACGATCTGTATTATGGTAGGGTTTTTGCTCATCGTTCATACTTCGTCTATGGCTGTTTCATGAAAATTATTAAGTGGTCGCCTACTCTGGACCTTTCAGAAGAGTCGCCAGTCGTCCCTGTGTGGATTTCTTTTCCGGGTATGCGACCTCATCTCTTCTCTCTCGTATACTCTTTGGGCTGGGATCTATTTTTGGTCGGCCGATCCAAACTGATAATGCGACGGCTGTCGGATCGCGTCCCTCAGTCGCGCGCATTCTTGTTGAACTTGACATTTCCAAAACCTACCCTGATTCTGTTTAGCTGGGTCCGTAGAAACTAGGGTATGTGCAAAATGTTGTTCTTGAAGGTTTGCCCAATTTTTGTCAACATTTCAAAGTTGTGGGACATACAAAATCTGAATGCTCTAAGCTATTTCCTAATTTACGCCCAGTTGAACCTTCGGCTCTGCCGCCGTTAATTTCTGTGTTTAATCCTTTACCGAATTCTAATATTCTTGTTATCTCTTCTATCCCCATTGCTCCTTTGTGTGAGGTAGTTTCGAGTAATGGTGATGTTATTCCGGTTGTTGGTGATTTGAATTGTGATATTGATATTAATGTTGTGAAGAGTGTTGTTTTACCCTCTGTTGAAGCTCCGGTTCCTTCCCATGCAGTTTTGAGAACCCCTATTACGTTGGATAATTATCATGGGTTGGGGGTAACGTGCTATCTGAATTTGGTGCTGGGGTTTTTTCGGCCTCTGATGGTAATGATGTGGTTGTTTGCCCTGTTTTATTGGTTACTGATGTTTTGGCTGGCTCGTCGTCTGATGTCGTTATTTTGAATAATCCTTCCATGAATGCAGACTGTATTGTGGAGAATATAATAATTTGGTTGACAATCCGGTCTGTTCGAATAATCTTGTGGATGTCACTGTAAACTTGGTAGATACGCAGAATATGTTCCAGCAGTTGGGTAATAATCCTGGATTCAATATTAATAACAATGTGGATTGGTTGCATGGGTCGTCTGAATTTGGATCTGAATCAGAATTTTCAGATTGCGGTTTGGCTGATCCGGATTTTTACGGTGGTTCCGACCCTGTAAATAATTTTACCTTGGTGCAAGATAGACATGTTGCTTCTCGTGGGAGTGGGAGATTTCGCGGGAGGGGCCGCGGGAGGGGCCGAAGAAGGAGATAATTTCCTATTTACTGTTTCTTTTCTTTCCTCTTATTGCTTCGGTCTGAATTTCTGGTTTTTCGATCGGGTATTTGAGGCAATGATGTGGCTGGGGCTCGTGTCCTTGTCGTCGAGCTGGTGGCAACCTTCGGTGTTCTTCGATGAGTTTTGTTGGATGTGAACGCTACTTTCACCTTATGGACGGTCCGTGCGAGGCTACAGGGATGCTGGGAGCCTCGGCCGTTTTCTGAGCCTAATGTGGGTTGTATTTCATTTTTCTTTTTTCTGGTCATTTATTGATGTAACCGTTATTTCTTATTTTAATATATGTGTTTTTGGTTTTAAAAAAAAAGTTGGAACTCATCTGTTTAAAATTTATATAGTATTAGTTATTTATAAATTATATTAATGTTAAAATATATTTATGAAACATAGGGTTTACTCTGATGAAGATATTATGATAGAAAATTTCATTCAATTATGAATAAGTGATCGAATTCTGGTGATTTCAACCTCATGATTAAAGTTCAATGCAAATGGGCTCTCCCTTAAATCAATAGCAATATTACACTATAGAGATCACTATCAATAGATGGATGAATTATTCTTTGCGGACACCGAACGTCGTCTGGAGCGAATCAGAGCACGTCACATTACTTCTTTGATATGTACCCGCTATGCATCAGGTGACATGGCGCGCTCTGATTCACCTTCGGACGGTCTGGCGTCCGCACAAAATAATTTCTCCAATAAATAGGCTATCGTGAGGAGTGAATACATCGTACCTGCAACCAATGCTTATTTTATTTGAACAAAAGAAAATCGTTTTGGGATATATTAAGGTTTCGTTTGTGACAATTTTTATATTATTTTTATGAATTTTTTAGCATAAAATTTTTTTGAAAGTAATAAAAAAATTAGTGACTAAAATCTGTCCTGAATGAAGCCTAAATAAGTTAATTGCAGTTTTGATCTGCTTCCTTTTTGGAAAACTCCGGCCTTTTACTGCCGCTCAATACGACAAAGAGCACCTTAGCTTAGCAGCCATAACCTCCTAAATTTTATAATTACCGATGAAATAATGATTACAGAAATTTATGTAATATGTTTTTATTGATGGAAAAATTTGAAAGAAAATTAAAGTATTCATATTTTATGTGTTCAACATGCAAAAAAAAATTGTGTATTTGAATTTACATTTAGATAAGTGTAATATTAAAATTAATTAATATTTATATTATACTCATTTTAAAATATATATATTTTTTTATTTCATTATATGTGTTGCGGGCTAGAATATATACGGCGATAGAGTTAGAATTATTCTTTTCAGCATTATACGGATATCCAACACACAAATAGAGGGAAAAAGAAACACAATAATTTTTACGTGAAAAAACCACGAGGTCATGCTCAACTAAAATGATTTCACTAATGTTTAAATAGATTACAAGTAACTGATCTGTCCTTAAACTTGCGGACGATTAGATTGCAATAGCCAACCGTCGAGTTGAAATATAGTAATGAATGGAGATTGGACGGAAATCCGACGACGTTTAGTAGTCGGGCAGAAATTCGGCGCTAGTTGGTGACCGGGCAGAAGTCCAACGTCAATCAGTGGTTGGGCGGAAATTTGATGTCTATCGATGGCCAGACGAAAGTCCGACATTAGTCGTTAGTCGGGCAGAAGTCTGGTGATAGTCGAGGAAGAGTTTGGAGGTAAGAGAACTCTAGTTTTTCTCTATTCCTTATATTCATTACTTTTATCTCTTTTCATGAAGAATGAGTGGTCTATTTACAGTTTTATGATAGTGACATGACTAGTAAATATGAGGGATATCAAGGATAAGTTGAGAATGGTTTGAATGGACAGCCGATATTGATCCCCTTGATCGTCAATCATTTATTGTGCATTTGAATATATTAATGATATCAGAATTTGATGATCTTAAGCTTGCTGGATTTGTCTCGTCGAGTCGCTGGATTATATTATAAGCATGTCATGATTCAAATTGTTTGGTCATTCAATTTATGGTTTGAACTTTCCAAATGCATTTCGGGTCTTCGATTTGGACCAATTCGGCCATTCGGGCTTGTATTGATTCGAGTTTGGTGTCGCTGGATTAGTATTTTTGAGACGTTCAGTTTGACTATAAGTTTGCTTAAATAGGAGTTCAGATGATCCAAGATTTAATTTCGAAAGTTTCTAACTTAATTTTGCTTTGAGATTCGTGCTTAATCAAGTTAATTTTTTTTTATGATATATCAATATGATTTTATTTATATTTTTAACTTAAAATTTTAACATTTAAAAATTAATATGGGGTGATAGAAAAATCTATGAGTAAGTCATCAATAATTAAATATGACAAATTCCTTCCTCTATGGATTAAGATTGATGGTGAAAAATGAAAATGGCTCCTTGTTTAAGCTTTCTACATCAGGATAGGATGTCGCCTTAATCATAATGAACCTTCATAGAACGCGATTATTGATTTTAATAAAAAAAAAATCTCTCATAATTGAAAAAATTCATTAATCATAAATATTTATCTACATTACCTATATAATATCTAAAAAAGGAATAGTAACACATCGTTTGGGACAGCTTTCTTACTATTTTGTTTTTCAGATCATAATCATAATTTTTGTTTAGGAAATTTTCTTAGTAGGAACGTATTTTCTATAGTAGCTTTAAAAAAATTACTTTCTTCACACCAATTTTATAAAAAGTTGTATTTATCTCAAACAAATCCTAAAAGTCTATTTAGGATAAATGAAATATTTTCTAAAGTTAGTTGTGAAGCTGTTGGATTATTTGTAATCTGCAATTGTCCCTTCCAAAAATTGGAAAATCTTTTGGCCTCCTGCTATTTTCATCCAATTATGATGAATTTTTCTAACACTACAAAACAAATATGTGAAAAATGTTAATTTATAAAATAAATTATTTTTGCGCCCTTAGATATTTTTTTTTTAAAAAATCTGCCACTTGCCCCTATAACTAATAATTTATAAAATAAATTATTTTTGCACTTAGATATTTTTTTTAAAAAAAAATTTGCCACTTGCCCCTATAACTAAGACTAATTAGATGAGCTAAATAATTATCTGTCTAATCAGCATTAATTAAATATATTATAACGTAGACCGTACGCTTACGCTGGACTCCACCATGCAAAAAAATATAGCCTCCAGGCCCTCCACCTGAGACCAAACGCACCAATAGATCTCCAGCCATTTGGACCATATGATCACCAAACTCCCAAATCACCTTATAAATCTATATATAATCCACACAGAGAATTAATTAACCTTCACTAATTACTTCCAGTTCTAATCAATTAACTTCAGTTAATCGATTCCAAGCTCCTCATCTCTCCTCTCTTTCAATGGCGTCTTCTTCCAAAGTCGACCCTGATCACTCCATTACTTCTTCTTCTCCAATCATCTCTACCAAACTCTCTCGAATGGATCTTATTCTTCGAATTCTTCTTTTCGTGAAGACTTTAGCAGCTATCATTGTGATGGTCACAAGCAAGCAGAAAAAGGACGTGTTCCCAGCAGCTCATTTGGTTGTTGTTGCTAAGTTTGACCATTCTTCTGCTTTCATGTAAGATTTTTTTTATATAGATCATTGATCTATTGTTCAAAGTGACAGTGAAATAGATGGGGATATTATAAGTAGAATTCAAGTTGGATGGTTGAAATGGAGGAATGTATCGGATTTGTTGTGTGATAGAAAAGATCCTCTCAAACTTAAGGGAAAATTCTATAAGATGGTGGTGAGATCTGCAATGCTTTATGGTGCTGAATGTTGACCATTAAAAGATAAGCATAATATTAAGTTAAGTGTTGCAGAGATGAGGATGCTCAGATAGATGAGTGGCTTTACTTTTAGAGATAAGATACCAAATGAGCATATAAGTAAAAAAGTTGAAACAGTGCCAGTGGAAGATAAGATTAGAGAGAGTCGCTTTAGATGATTTGGTCACATAAAACGGCAGCCTTACGATTACCCGGTTAGGAAAGTAGATGTATTAAATTTAACTTATGTTAAGAAAGGTAGAAGTAGACCTAAAAAGGCTTGATTAGAAAATATTAGAAAGATATTTCTTTATTAGATTTAAGCGAGAATTTGATTTTTAACAGAAGGCAAAAGAGAAAAAAGATTCATATAGCCGACCCCACGTAGTGGGACAAAGACTTGATGTTGTTGTAGTTAATTAGATCATGCTTATAAATGAAATTATTAATTAAAATTTTTTATTTCACTTATATGTACGTTATGTAAATCTGTTTAAATATATTTATTCTGCTGCAGATATTTTGTGGTGGCCATCTCAGTGGCCTGCTTGTACAGTTTGGTTACTGCAGTGAGGTCTGCTATCAGGCCTTATTCCCATTCAAGAACGTTATTCTTCACAGCCTTCTTTGATGCGGTAACTGATTTCTTGATTATATATAGCACAATTTAACACAGCTTTCTTTGATGCGGTAATTTACCAGCGGCTAACCGGCAGCTTGACCGTGGTTATTGTGGCTTTTTCAACAGCCGGTATGCTGCCGGCGGTTTGACCGCAAGAATATATCAGCTGTCAAGCCGCCGGAAAATCGCTGAAAAGTTTGACCGCCGGAAAAAAACCGTCATAATTCTTTTTCTATGCGGATTATTCTGGCGATTTTTGAAACGCTGGCAAACTGCTGGAAATCTTAGTTTAACCGCCCGAAAAAACTGTAGTAATTAATGATTTTACTGTAGTGGTTCATCTGATACAGATCTATATGTGTATATATATAATGATATTAATGCAGCTAATATTTGGTGTGGTGGCTTCTGCTGTGGGAGCTGCAGCTTCAATCGCTTATGTTGGAGCGAAGGGAAATCCTCATGTGGGTTGGTCGAAAATCTGCAACCTGTTTGATAAATTCTGCAAGCATATTGGAGGGTCTCTTATTCTATCTGTATCAGCCTCCATCACTCTTATTTTTCTCATGATGATCTCCACCTTCTCCCTCTATCGTAGAAGCCGTTGATATATCTGTAGATAATACGTACATGCAGCTCTGGTGTGCTTCAGCAGGAGTGGTGATTGTCCAAGGCTTCGGTTAATGTGACAGCTTTTTTATAAGTACTTTTTACAGCTGCTTTTAACTAAAACTTTTCTTGAAAATGGTGAAAAATAGTGGTAAAAATCTGTCCAAATATGCTGTTTGAGTTGTGCTTTAAGGGTGTAATTTGTGAAAAGGGTTGTATGAAGCTCTTATATTTTGTGTTCATTGGAGAAAATTTGGTGAAATTGAAGCTTATTTAATTGATTGAAGATTGAAATATAATTAAAAGCAAAAAAAGAATTTATTTGATTATATTAATAAATTTAAAAAATAAAAAAGAATAATACAAATTATATAAATTTAATCATTAATTGAGCTTGAAATCATTATTAAGTTATCTTAATTGTAAATTAAGTCTTACTTTTGCAATACTTTTGCGGGCTAATATATTCATGGTGGTAATGTGAGTGAATTTTCTTGCGGATAAAGTACATATAAATGAGATAGTTGATCATATTGAGATTATTATGCATATATAAGTGAAAATGAAAGAAAAATAATAAATTATGTCATGAAATTAAAATTATTGAAATGGAAAAGATATCTGCATATAAATATAAGAGTTCACCCTCTTACATTAGTATTGGCTACGACACAATGTACCTATGCATGATAAATAAAAATATCCTAATTAGTACTATTTAGATGGCCCCCTGAAATAAATGAATTATTAAAAGTTAAAATTATAATGATAGACATGCTAAAGAATTATTATATAAATTAAAATTTTATAATGCTCATTTTGTCTTATTGTTATGAAATGAAAATTTTGATGATATGACATGATTATCTATACACATTGTTGCGGGCTAGAATATACGCGGCGGTAGAGTTTATGAATTCGCGTCCGAGCGTTGCACGAATATTCAACACACAAACAGAAAAGATAAATGAACACCAAGGTTTTTACGTGGAAAACCCGAAAGAGGGAAAAAACCACGGGGCCTCACCCAGTTGTAAAGTTCCACTAGTGTTTTGTTTGAAGTACAAAAATTGATCCGTCTTACAAATCAAGACAATTAGTTTACAATCAACTTCTCACAAAGTTACAAAGTTCTGCAAATTCCCGGCGTTTCTCAAAAATCCGGCAGAGTTCCGGTGTCTTCATGTGGCGTGAAGAGCTCCGGCGGTGGTCGAGGAGGAGCTTCTTCCTTCTCTTCTTTCTTCTCTTCTTCTTCTCTCTCTTCACTTGAGTCCCCTCTTATAAAGAATGAGGGCTCTATTTATAATTTTTCTGGAGTGGCATAGCCCGTAAATAAGTGTGAGATCAGAGGCGAATTGGGAGTGGTTTGAATGGACAGCCGATATTGAATCCCTTGATCGTGCACCATTCATCATATATTTGAAGGCCTTAGTGATGTCAGAATTTGGTGATCTTGGACTCATTGGATTCGTCTCGTCGAGCCGTTCGATTCGACTATATGCTCATTAAAATCGGAGACCGTTTGGTAACTCAAATTATGATTCAAACCTTCCAATAGCACTTCGAGTCTTCTATTTGGACCCATTTGGGCTCGGATTGAGTTGAATTTGGTGTCGTTGGGTTCGTATTTCTGAGACGCTCAGTTTGACTATAAGCTCGCTGAAATCGAAGTTCACGTGCTCCCGGATTTAATTTTTGAAGTTTCCGGATTGGGTTTTGTCTCGAGATTCGTGCCCGATCAAGATAATTTCATGATGACGTATCACACATAATACATTATTACTGCTTTATATAAAATCATAATTGACCACTAAATTGATATTGAAAAACTTAACCCATTAAATTGAACATTTTGAATAAATTCCCAATTGAATAAATGATTGATCAAGAATGTTATGTGTATCGAGGAAGAGTTTCATCTAAAAATAGGTATAAACTATTTTATTTGTATGGTTTAACAAGAAAATTGTTATTTGTCTTAGTGACTCTTTAGTTAAAATTTTGATGTTTATTTTTATTTGAGTACTTGATGTTTATTTTTATTTGAGTACTTAAGTGTTGTAAGAATTTGTGAAATCCATCCCAACTAGCTAGTATTGCCTCACTAACTCAGGGTCGAGTATTAATAAAAGTAGTATCAAAGCGGAAAATCCTGAAAAGGCGGAAAACCCACAGGGCCTGGCCCAATTTGAATCAATCCACTATTACTTGTAGTTGATTACAAATGAGGCCATTCCTTGGGGGAAAGGCCTTAGGCTGATGTAGCAAATGTACATCATATTACATGGTGGGAATTGAAAGAATTAGTATTGAAATGTTCGTTTAGTCGGTAGAACTATAGTCGGCGGGTCGATAGAGGTCAGAAAGACGGTAGTCTGATGACGGTGATCGAAAGGACCGTTGTTGGTAGGAGACAAGGGTCATAAAGATCATTGTCTGGCAATGTAGGTTGGAAGGACTGTAGTAAGCGACAGAGGTCGAAAGGACTAAAGTCGGCAGGAGATAGAGGTCAGAAAGACCGTTGTGTGGAAATGGTGGTCGGAAGGACTATTGTCTAGTGATGGAGGTCATGAGGACCGTAATAGGCGACGGATGTCGGAAGGACTGTAGTCGGCAGGAGACAGGGGTTAGAAAGACCATTGTCTGATGAAGGAGGTCGTAAGGACTATATTAGGAGACGAAGGTCAGAATGACTATAGTCGGTAGGAGATAGGGGTCAGAAAGACATTGTCTGGTGATGAAGGTCAGAAGGATTATAGTCGGCAGGAGACATGGGTCAGAAAGGCTGTTGTTTGGCGATGGAGATCAGAAGGACCATAGTAGGCGACAGAGATGAGAAGGACTGTAGTTGGTGGGAGATAAGGGTCAAAAAGATTCTTGTCTTGTGATGGATGTTAGAAGGACGGTAGTAAACGATAGAGGTCAGAAGGACCGTAATAAGTGACGGAGTTCGGAACATAGTTGACAGGAAACAGTGGTAAAAAAAGATTGTAGTCGAAAGGTGATGGTCCGACGAAAGTCCATGCATTATTCAATGTTCTGGCAGAACTCTGACTTCTATTAGTGGTTCGACGAAAGTTTGAATCTCAGTCGGTGGTTCAACGGTGGTTTGGTAAAACTCTGGCATCAGTCGATGGTCATGCAGAACTCTGGCATCAGACGATGGTCCGACTGAACTCCAATGTCAGGTAGTGGTCTGGTGGAACTTCAGCGTTGGGCGGTGATCTAGCGGAACTTCGGCGTTGGGCGTTTGTCTGACAGTGGTCGACGGTCGGGCGATGGTTCGACAGCGGACAGGCTGAAGTTTGACTACGATCAGAGGCAGGTTGGAAGTCCGGCAGTGGTTAGTAACCAGACGGTGGCCCTAGGATGTTTGGGCTAAAGTTAAGCAGGGGTTGGGGGTCGGGTAAAAGTTCAATGGTGGTCGGTGTTCGAATTGTCACGACCCGACCCGATCCGGGACGGATCCCGCTCGCACCGGGTCGCGACCGGAACGAACAAACTGACTGACCAGGATCTAGCTTTGGAATTTGCTTCGGAACTGAATCTTCCAAATAATTCAACACAAAAATAGACACACAGAGCTACTATGAAACATCAAATGCAGCGAAACAAAACATCTATGTTTTTTTTCTCAAAACAATCATCTACAACTACAGACCATGGCTTAGACAGAAAGAAATAGAGCAGAAGAGCCATGTCTGTACAAAAATCAAAAGTACAAAACAATACCTACTGATCAGACTCTGAAATCTATTCCTGGACCTCCTTCCCTTTCCTAGAACCTGAAAACCACCAGAAAATAAGAGTGAGCTCAACAGCTCAGCAAAGCGACAAACTTCCAATCAAAACTTCCAGAATCCAAAACCAAACACATCAGACCAAAATCCAATCAGAAATCGGAACAGAATCGTATATCGAATCAAAACAGAATCAAATCAGAACTTATATGAACATATATCAAATCAGAATCAGAGTCGTACGGATCAGATCAAATCAGAATACAAATCATAACAGATTAAATCAATAGAATCAGAATTGTATAGAAATCAGAAATTCAGATCATATCGGAACAGAACAGAATCGTGTCAGAATTGTACAGAAATCATATCATACAGATCAGATAAATTCATATCGTACGGAAATCAGAATCAGATTTGCTTGCATAACAGATACGGAAATCTGAATCATATCAAATCAGATATCAGATATTATTTAATTCATAGCTAAATGCCCTGACACTGACGGAATCTCTACGGATTCCGGCCCCTTATGCCTCCCTTCCTAGACACTGACATAATCTCTCGGATTTTGGCCCCTTATGAGGCCCCTTTGTGCTCACGGCACCAGAACAGATGTGCTTATAGCACCAGAACAGAGTTCATCGGATCCGGAACAGAACTGATTTCAAAATTTCAGATTAAGTTCATTTCAGATTTTCCAGACACTAACTGAATCTCTTAGGATCCAGACCCCTTATATCTCCCTTTTTATAGCATATACAGATAGCATATCAATTCAGAAGAAATCCGGACAAATCAAAAAACACACGAAAATCGGGCAGCACAACGGCTGTATACGGAATTTACACAATTTTTTCTGAAAAATCACAGAATACTAAATTTGCACAGAATGTAGATAACAACATTACAAGACTTTAATTCTAATGCTCATTAATTTTTAAACTACACAGAAAAATCTAGTCGACGAAAAACACCGTCGAATCAAAACTACCAGAACAAAAATCTTCAGAAAATAATCAAAATGTGCACACTCGGTACGTCAACAACATACAGAAAGTTACACGGTAAAAACTGAACCAATCAGAAAATACGGACGAAAATCACGAATAAAAATCAATTCCGGACATAAAATACTGCCAAACACGACGGTTCTGAAAATTGAGAAAGGCGGAATGTGTCTTACCTTGCGTACAACAATTTCCTGAACAGTCTCATCGGACGAAAACGGAGCCGCGTCGCTCGAAAATCAACTTTTCCCAAAAAGCCTTCGACTTTCTCTCTCCTCAAAGATATTTTATTTTTTTTTTATTTTTCTCTCTCTTCAAAATAACTGATTTCAACTTTATAATACACAGATCGACCCGGCCGATCGCAATATCATCCTGGGACGATCTGAACAAAATCCATCGGCCTGGACGGTTCCTAGGGCGATTCTCAGGACGAAATGATGCACTGAACCGATCGGCCTGGACGATGTCCCTATCGGCCTGGCCGATACCTACAGAAAAATCACCTGGAGTAATCTGGACACATTCTGGAACAAAACTTCAACTGATCGTCCCAGGACGATCCTGGAGCAAAATCAGCACTTTATAGTTTGGGCGGTGGTTTAATGGCAATCGGGCTGAAGTTAGACAGCGTTCGGATGCGGGGCGGTGTTCCGACGATGGTCGGGCTAAAGTCTGGTGATGGTCGGCGCCTGGGTGGAAGTCCAGCGACTGTTAGAGGCCATGCGGAGGTTCGACCACGATCGGGCTAAAGTCCAGCGGTAGTCTGACAATGGTCGGGCTGAAGTCTGGCAGCGGTCGACATCCGGGAGGTGGTCTGAGGGCAGTCAAGCTGAATTCTAGCAGTAATTGGCGGCTGGGCGGTGGTCGGAAGACAGTCGGGCTGAAATGCGGTGGCGGTCGGTAGCCGGGTGGAAGTCGGGCGGTGGTCAGCAACCGGGGGAAAGTTTGGCGTCGGTCAGTGGCCGAGCGATGGTCCTATCACGATCGGGCAGAAGTTTGGTGGCTGGGTGGAAGTCTGGCAGTGGTCAGCGACGGGGCGGTGGTGTTGGAACTCTTGAGGCTTTAAAGCTCTCTCCAATCTCTTGCCCCCTCGCCCCCTGGAAGTTGGGCGGTGGTCAGCAACCGGGGGAAAGTTTGGTGCCGGTCAGTGGCCGAGCGATGGTCCTATCACGATCGGGCAGAAGTTTGGTGGCTGGGTGGAAGTCTGGCAGTGGTCAGCGACGGGGCGGTGGTGTTGGAACTCTTGAGGCTTTAAAGCTCTCTCCAATCTCTTGCCCCCTCGCCCCCCTCATGCAGAGAGCGAGAGTCTATTTATAAATTTTCATGAGTAGAACACCCCATAAATATAGATGAGTTTCGGGGTAGGTTCGAAGTGCTCCATCGGATGGCTCGTATTGACTCCCCGATTATAGATAGTTTTTCAACTGTTTAAGTGCCTTAACAATGTCAAAATTTAGCGATCTTAAGCTCGTTCGATTTTTCTTGTCGAGCCACTCGATTTGAATATAAGCATGTCATATTTGGATATCATTTTATTATCCAAATAATGCTTTGAGCCTTCCAAATGTGGTATGGGCCCCCGATTTGGACCCATTTGGGCTTGGGTTGTACCGATTTTAGTGTCGTTAGGTTCGTCTCTTTGAGATGTACGGTTTGACTATAAGTTTGTTGAAATTGGAATTCACATGATCCCAAATTTAATTTTGAATGTTTCCAACTTGAATATGCCTCGAGATTCGTGTCGATCAAAGTAATTTTCGATGATGTATCAATGTCAATATGGAATCTAATTAGGTGTTTTTATTTTAAATTTCAGGACTAAGGATGGTCCCAAAGAGAATATAGAAAGAGATGCACCGAGTGTTGGTAATAAATTCAGGATCAATCTTTGGGAAGTCATAACAAGAACTTGATATTCTTTCAAGAAATACCGTTATTGTTATTTAAGGGAATTGAAGAAGGGCCAACAGAGGCAGATAATTAGCTATTTCGGATTGAGAAAATATTGGAATGCTTTGCTTGGAAGAAAGCAAAGTTTCAATGGCTATATTTGCATTAGATGAAGAGGCTGAAAGATGATGGAGAGGACAACATCATAATAATTTTGGAGGTATGTCCAATATTCAAATTAAATGGGAAGAATTTTCACAAGCTTTTAAAAACTGATTTATACCTCTTTATGTAAGGAGGTAAATGTAGGTTTGTTCAATGATGCCCTTCCATTATTGAACCATGGACTACCAAAAAGGGTGTTTATTGTAATTAACTTGAAAAGAAAAATACTACCATATTAGGGTCTCTTGCCGATAGCATAATCGACCAAAATCAAAGCCCATAGTTTGCACCATCCTCTATCCCTTTGTTAGAGAAGTAACATTCTTATTATGTTACGATAAATAATTAAGGAAGAATTTGGAAGAGGTATGATCATTAAATTGGAGTAGGATTTTTTGGTTCATGATAGATGGGTGTCTTTTTTTTTTTTTTTTGAATGAGGATACCTACATGCTGGCATGCTGCCATCTCATAGGAGGTGCTTAGTGGCGTAATTAATTCTTCGGTGAGACTACCAACAATCAATCCCATAGGTGCAGGACCCACAGTTATTTTCTTCCCACTTAAGGGTTCACACCATATGAGAGGAGAAACGAACATGAATTGAGGGTTCCCAACCATACTGGCACACCAACTCAGTTAAGCCCGATGGGATATGGGTGCCAATCTAGAATAGAGAAAATAGCCTAATGAGAGGAGAAAAAGCCTCTTCTAACTTCCCTAGTTCTCCTACTACAATTATTTCTAATAAGCCAAAAGCCCTTTCACAAACGCCCTAATTTTAACCAATCAAACGATTACTCCTATGCAATCTTTCCACAACCCGTCGGTACTCTATTTTTTTATTATTATTATTTTTTTCAAAACAGTGGAAGAACAAGCGGCGGAAACGCCGATTACGTGAAGAAGCAGAATCCCACAAGTAGAGAAGTAGAGCCCTGCTTTCGCATTTTCTAATTCCGTAATCCATGAAAGCGAGATCACAAACTCTGATCCAGTGGCCGCCAGCCGTGCCCGCCCTCATTCTGTACTGTAGCCATCGATTGTACAAACCTTATAAATCCCTACTTTCTCATCTACTCTTTCACTCAAATGGCTCTTTCTTTGCCCTTCTCTTCCCCTCCACTGTTACCTCGCCATTTCCACCATTTTCTTCGATTGCGACCGGCGGCGGTCACTGGAGCCCCGCCTTCTTACCCTTCCTCGACGCCGACGGTGCGATCTCCGGAGAAGAAGGTGCAGAAGAATGCAAACAGTGATGTGAATCTGGAGGTGCTTTATGATGACAAGTCCGGGACGGAGAGTGTGAAGGATTATCTGGATGCTTCAAGGGAGATTATCAAATCCGATGGCGGGCCGCCCCGCTGGTTTTCTCCGCTCGAGTGCGGTCAGCCAGTACAGGGTGCTCCTTTACTGTTGTTCTTACCGGGTGGGTGCTTTTGATTTGATGTTGCTTGTGAATTTATAGCTTTTCTTATTCTTTGCTTTTAAAAACTTTGACATATTAGGATTTTTGTTGCGTCAAACAAATTGAAAAGGAAAGCGCTACTTTGCGTGTTCACCTACTAAATGGCTTTACTAGTGCAGGATAGCTCTTACAATCCGTGACAATGGTGGTCACTTTATTTCGTATCACGCCCCAAAAATAGCTCAAGATTAGCAAACAAAGCCTTGCTATTCAGGGTTGCTAGAATATTATAACTAACATTTGTACTGGTCACATGAAACAGGGTTGGTAGTTAGGATATGGCGTTCGTGATGATTGTGAAGTTGAGATTTTTTATTTTGCGTAGGCATTTGGAGGTGTAATCTGCTAATGCGTATTTATTATATGCAGGTATAGATGGGACAGGGTTTGGGCTGATTTTGCATCACAAATCTCTTGGTAGGTAAGTTGAAGTACACAATTATATGCCGTGATGTCAGTTGCATTGTAATGCGCATGCTTTTATGTGGTTCATCATGCAAATTAGCTTCCTTTTATGCATTTAGTAACCCTTTTCTATTATATATATAGATATGATGATTATTAGTGCATGTGTGAGCTATGCCCAATCTATATGATTAAATAAACCTTTTACGAAATGAAAATAATTAATATAATCAAGCATTTATTATAGAACATTTTTTTTTTGCAACTTTAAGTTAATCCAATTACTCATGCTACATAATTAAGCATCTTAAACGCACTCACTAAGAAATTACGTCGACTTAAATTTAACCTCATTAAGCATAACCTCATTGAACTATTTTGAATTCACTTGAAGCTTGTCTTTCGGTTTCAAACCCAAGGTAGCTTATGCCATAACGTTATCTTCTCCAAGATTTTTCTTAAGTTAATCAATTTCTTACAAACTTAACAAACTATTAGATAGTTTCACACAAGATTTGTTATGATTAAATCACTAATAAGCCAATGATAAGTTATATGATAAGAAAGTTAGTCTCATGGAGTTAACTATATATGTATAGACAAATAATGTGGTAAATCAATATTATAATTTTCTTATATTTTAAGCTTTCTATTGAGGTTGTGTCTTTGGCTTGCTATATGCTATAAATCCAATGAACATTTGTTACATATCAACCCATCAATTGGATTTAATGCCCGCCCGCCCCCCCCCCCCCCCCCCAAAAAATCCAAATTGCTAAATGAAAAAAAAAAAAAAAAACAATTGGAAATGTTCTGAACCTAATCTTACTAAAAAAAAAAAAATTCTTCATTTAAAAATCTTAAGAACCATTGTTATTGTCGATCGCTTGAAATTGGTGCATCATTTCTTCCATAACTTTATAAATCTATGAACTGAGTCTTGCATATAATGATTTTGTTTTTTTGTTGTTAAAACAACCGGTTTCATGTGAACAATGCCAACGCTTTAGTTGAAGTTCTTTGCACTTATGAATATCTTTTCATGTAACTTAATAATAAAATTCTCATCAACTATACCTCATTTTTGGTCGGTATTGTGCGCTTGCTAAGTTTTCACATTGATCTTTTTCATTTCATTGCAATGATTTTTCCATGCTTGTACTTTTGCTCATGGCTTTTATTTTTATTGATTTATCCTTGTACCATATGATATGCAGAGTTTTTGAAGTTCGGTGCTTGCACATTCCAGTCATTGATCGTTCCGAGTTTAAAGGTCGATGCTCTTTATTTGGATAAATTATTATCATGTATTATTAGCATGTTCTATCTATTATTTTAATGAATGAATTTGTTCATGGTTGATTATGTTAGTTTAATATTTCAAAACATCATGATACCAATTGGCATAGTAGCTTCGAAAAGAAACTTTTTTGTATACATAATTTAGTTACATTGTTAGGTGATGTAAAACAAAGGAGATGAAGGAAAAGCAAAGAGGAAGAAGGAGACAAGTAGCAGGGATGAAGGAAAAGATGAAAAGGAGAGTTAGATAGATAGGAAAAATGGAATAGACTAAGACTTCGTTTGGGACAAATTTCTTACCACTTTCTAAAGCAGCTTTCCAGTTAAAAATTTTCAATTTAAAGAAAATATACTAAAAACTGGTTTATAAAGTAATAAAAATATTGTCTCAAACGAAGCTTAAATCCATCTATAAGCAATGAGTGCTTATTTATGGGAATTTAGAAGCAAAGAATCCGTCCTAAAAAAATCAACGCATTATAACATCATTTAGGGTTTTAAGTAGTAGTCCACATCAAAGAAAATTAGACCAAGCTAAACCATCGGTAGATGATCTACAGGATATGACGTACCTTGGTAATATTAAGTTGTAGAATTTTTCACTTTGATAGCATAGTTCCCTTCCATGTGCTTAGGGCAAACACAAAAGAATTTTCTCTTCCCTGTTTAATAAATTTTTTGAATTTGTTAGACTCTTATATTATATGCCTCTGCTCAGCTGTCATTGGGAATATCTTCCTACTTATGACACCAAGTAGGAGGTTGAGATGCATTACCTCCATTGGCCTGAGGAGGTGGCACTCCAAGCCTGTTATCTCTGCCTGTGTGATCTATGCAATCCTACCATCCATCGATTTAATTTCTTGAGGGAGGCATACTCTTGAGTAGTTGGATGTTGAGAAGAATGCCCCATAGGTCTGATCTTCCTCATGCCTGCCAGTTGTCCTTTTCTCTCCACTGTCCATGAATCTAAATGATAAGACTAGACAATGTAAGCGCTATGATTCTGATACGGCGGGAGAAGGGGAGTAGAGAGGCTAGTCCAATTCCAGATAGGGCCGAATCAGCTCTTGTGCTGGGCAGAACTCTCAACAGGACCAAGGTTATTTCGGACCCCAACCCCCCCCCCACCCCCCCAAGCTATAAATCATTATGAAAGAAGGAGGAATTAAGAGGAAGTTATTTAGGGAAGTTTTAGAATTGAAGGAAAAAATTCTAATTCTAAATTGAAATAGGAGAGGGAAATTAAAAGGCAAGAAGAGAATTAATTGCTATTTTAATTCCAATTTGAATTCAAAATAAGAGAGGGAATTAATTAAGGTAGTAAAGCTATTTGTGAGGGAAATAGAAAGAGCTTATTTAAGTCTAGTTATTTTGTTATGAGAGATATATGTATTTTGCTTGTTTGCTATAGTTTTCTTCTAGAGGGTTTCCTAGAGGTGTCTATGTTGATTGGGAGAACCGATTTACCTCTTGAATAGTAGTTCACTTGTATCTATCATTATTGTTGAAGTATTAACAAAAAAATCAGCCCTTAGCTTTGTGTTCCTGCACTTCTTCTAGTTTGTTGTGCTCTTTTCACTTCTAAATCAGATCACTTTTTTTGGGACCTATGGAAGCAAATAAGGTGGAGACGTTTGGAAAGTAAGATGGAGCAAATCAAATCTGACGTGGAGAAGAGGCTTTCGGAAGGAAGGCTTTCTAACCTGGAAGATATGATGAGAAAGTTGATCGAGATGCAATCGAAGGCTTCGCCGGCTATTCCTAGGGTTGAACCAAAGGGAAAGGAAATTATTGAGAAGAAGCTGAGGAAGCTCTTTGAGATTCTATCAAAAACTCTACCGGTGGTTCCGATGGCTAACCCTAACCAATATTTGATTGAGATTCCCTTGGCCAAATCGAAGGGAAGGGAGATCGGACAGGAGTTCGATGATGAGAGTTTCTTTCATCAAGGCCACCTCCTGGGATTTTGATAAGGTGCGGATTAGGGTTTCTAGATGTGGGGATAGCAATGAGAGAATTTTTTGGTGGAGGTGGTATGGTGGCCGACCACTATGGGAGGCATTTCAGGCAATGAGGTGTCTGCCATCGAAGGAGGGTGTCAAGAGTCACCTCCTAGGGCTTCAATAAGGGGAGGAATAGGGTTTTTGGAGGGGGGGAGGGTGCAGTTGGAAAGGAGTTTCCTGGTGAAGGTGGTGGGGTGACTAACCACTATGAGAGGTCTTTTGGGCAAGGGGATTGGATGATCGGAGGAGGGGGACGGGCCGAACCATGGGGATTGGGTCATGTGAGGCGGAGGAAAGAATGGTGGGATTCCCATTCTCAATACACGGGGGAAACATGTAGGGATCACAACAACTGTTACTTTGGAGGAGGAAGATGCTATTGTGGTGGTGGCGAACCTAGGGTGAGGAATTTTAGGATGCCAATATTTGAGGGAGAGGATGCCTATGGGTGGGTGTATTGGGTGGAGATGTATTTCATGGTGGATGGGTTGAATGAGGAGGAGAAGCTTACGGTTGCAAGGTTATGCCTGGAGGGAAAATCCCTAGCTTGGTTCTAGTGGACGTTAGCATGGCCACGAACTGAGTAGCTGAAGAAAGCCATGACCAACGTCCCATCCTTCCACCTTGAGGACAAGTTGCGTCTTTGGGGGGGGGGAGTATTGATACAGCGAGAGAAGGGGAGCAGAGAGGTTGGTTCAACCCAGCCAATCAGCTAAGGCCAAATCAGCTCTTGGGCTTGGCGGAACTCTCATTAGAACCAAGGGGGATTTTGGCCCCCTCTTGTGGACCCCAACAAAGCTATAGATCATTATGAAATGAGGAGGAATTAAGGGGAAGTTATTTTGGGAAGTTTTAATTAGAATTGAAGGAAAGAATTCAAATTTTGAATTGAAATAGGAGAGGGAAATTAATTAAGACAATAAGGGAATTAATTGTTGTTTTAATTCCAATTTGAATTCAAAATAAGAGCATGAATTAATTAAGTCAGTAAAGCTGTTTGGGAGAGAAATAGAAAGAGCTTATTAAGTCTAGTTATTTTGTTATGAGGGATATATGTGTTTTGTTTGTTTGTTGTAGTTTTCTTGAGGGCTTCCTAGCGACTTTAGGTTGATTGGGAGAGTCAATCTATCTGAATAGTAGATCACTTGTATCTTTCATTATTGTTGAAGTATTAACAAAAAAATCAGCCATTATATTTATGTTCATGCACTTCTTTTTGTTTATTGTGCTGTTTTCACTTCCAAATCATATCAGATTCATTGCAAAAATCACATCCACATATCTACTTGAGATATTTGATAAATAGCTGAGTATTGACAATAATTAAGTGGCAGGAATATTGCTTGATGGCAAATGAAATTGAAGGAAATCAAAACTTATGTGAAGGAAAATGCTTTCATAATTAGTAAATATTATAACCACACTGATTACAACCTAGCACTACACAGTAATTTATTATGGACCATGTACGCTCTACGCCACGCCCGTCTCTCTCTCCTCCCTTATACCTAGACATGCTGCTTTGAACTTTATGAAAAATCAACTTCGGGTTTTAGAAATTCTGCCCTCATGCCGTCTTTAGATGTTCTTGGTGATTAGGGCTTAGTGCTGAGCTGGCTCACCATCATGAGTGGCAGTTGCTCTGACTTTTGAGCATTCTATGCACACCAGCACATGAAGAAAATTTATATTGTCTATCTTGATATTAGTCTTCATAACTTGAGTGGATCTGATTTTGAACTTAGAATTGGTTGTATGAAATTTCTAGACTTAGGAATTGCACAAATTTTCTTAATGTTATGAGTTTTTTATTATGCAGAACTTGTGGCATTGGTTGAGTATTCTGTGAAGCATGAGCACAGGCTATCTCCTAATAGGCCAGTTTATCTTGTTGGAGATTCATTTGGATGTTGCTTAGCTCTTGCAGTTGCTGCTCGTAACCCCATTATTGATCTTGTGCTAATCCTAGTTAACCCAGGTCAGTGCAAACTTAGAAAAGCTAGTTTTTGCTGTGATGAGTTGTTTATTAGTAGTTACATTAGTTTGGTGTTTACTTCACCTTACAACTTAATGCTTCCTTCAGCTTCTTCATTTGGGAGATCACAGTTGCTGCCCTTGCTTCCAGTTTTAGAGGCTTTACCTAGTGATCTTCATGTTGCTATTCCTTACCTACTCAGTTTCGTCATGGGTATGTCTTTATTCTCATTATTAATGTCATGCATGTCTTTCTTCTGCTGGAGGACTATCATCATCATTGTTAACCTTATCCTAACTATTTTGGATTGGACATGAGTAAATATTTTTTAATGTTTGACTTGTTCATTAGACATGTTCACCTAAAAGTGTAAGTTGTAAGATTGTGCCAAAGAATGATATTAATATTCTAAAATTCGCTCTCACATGGCTATTTGTCTTGTTGATGTTGATATTCTAGCATGCTTTATTGTTGAAATTATAAATACTTACTGCGTCATGGGATAAAGGCTTGATGTTGTAAAAGAACTTAACAGTCTACTATTCAATTAAATTACACATGGGCACTCATCACAATTTGAACTCCATGGAATCATTGAACCAAAAAACTTATGCTTCTAGATTTTAGACAAAGCATAATGTTCTATTCTAATAAAACTAGTTGGCATGAAGCTTTTGATATATTTGTTTTCTTCTTATGATTTGCTATCCCATTTTGATAAAATGTCTATTTGTTTTGGGACTGCATTTACATTATTCCTGATATTGAGAACTAGTTAAAACCTCATGTAATGCGTAAAAAAGAATGAATGGAGCTTGCGGATTAAATAAATGAATCATAAATAGTTGTGATAGGGTTATCAATGATGTCAGTGAGTTTGTTTGGCATGATTAAGTTGGGACTAAGGAGAATGAAGCTAAAACCTAATGCTGCAGCCTTTTGATGGAGCATAATTAGAGTTTGTTGGCATGAAGCTTTTGATATTATTTTTATCTTCTTATGGTTGTTAGTACCCATTTTGATGAATTAGGCACGTTGGGTTTCCATCTCTGTATTTCTGCTTGCTTTGGGTCTGCATGGACATGATTGGTAATATGGCCAACTAATGAATACCTTATGTAATGCTCAAAAAGAAGGAATGAAAAAAGAGATATATAAAGTAAACCCCAAATAGGGGATAAGGCTATTGGTGATAATAGTGAGCTGATTTTTGCATGATTAAGTTAGGATTAAATCAATATCACTTTGGCTTGAACAAGGTTCAATTGTCATATACTTTGCTTTTTTATGGCACTATTCATTGTCATTAATATCCGTGCATGTTTATTTCCTGTTGTATGGTTGCCCTACTACTTTGGGTTGGTTTATGAATTTTTTTTTTTTATTTTGGAGTTGTTTCCTTAGAAGTGTACTTAAAAGTACAAAATGTTAGGTTGTTAGCATGATTCCTATAATGTGAACTAGATTCTAAATGCCCTTTGATTGACCATGTCTGATTCATATGCATTATTATTTTTGAAATTACCTTAACTTACATATTTTTTATTCGAAATTACCTGAACTTCTGACACATTTTCCAATATTCTTTATTGTTGAACCCAATGGAGCCATTTTACCTAAAAACCTTAACAAGGATGTTTTGTATTATAATAGGCTATTTGCTGGCATCAATGTTTTAAATACGACTTCAAACGGAGCTTTCGACAAGCTACTTGTGGCTCAACTCAATTATAGCTTGTTTGTGATCATTTGATTTAGCAATCAAACAAGCTTGAATAATTATGTGTTCGACTCATAAACGAATAGCATTATTTAAAGGTCTTGAACAAGCTCGATAAGAAGTTCCATAAGAAGCTTGATTTATATTTGATATAGAGATCGTGAACAAGCTTGTTTATAAATAATATTTGGAAATAAATAGATTTCTTAAGATTAGCTTAATTTTTTATTTGATATATTTTCACATAATTTTTAGTTTTATTATAATAAGTGATTATTATTTTATAAAAAAATTAACTTTATTTTTTATGTTACACTATTTCATCAGGTAGAATTTGTTCATGAAAAAGAGTTATTTATTCATGTTTGCTGTATTGTTTATTTAAAGTATTCATGTACAAGCTTGTTTATAAGAAAAATAATTTTTCTGAGCTCGTTTGTTCGTTAACAGGCTTGTTTCGTAGCTTGGAAACATTTGCTAGATATGTTCGTGAATAGACTCGTTTGGTAACTCAGAAGCACTCGCTAGAATGCTAGATATATTTGTGAATATGCCCTACAATAATTGTTTGTTAGTAGGCTTGATAAAGCTCGTTTGATAAGCTAATGAACATTTATAAAGTAATGCTCATTAATAGCTAGATACGGATCGTTTGTTTAAAACTCGATGAGGATGAAGCGAACTTAACACAAATTAAACATGAGGTAAGGGGAAAAAATATTCATAATTAAAAACCCACATAAATTTTAATTAAAAAACCTAATTTAAGGAAAAATACTCATAATTCCAACGAGGGTCTAAAGCCGTGAGCACAACAACCACATAAGTTATAAGGGCAGAAACATAAGAACTCTTGAACAACTAAATTTATAAAATTGCTTTATTTTATTAATTCAGAATTTATATACAAGTTTATAATTTTCATCCTTTTACAAGCTTGCACTAGCCAACAAAAAAAAGGGTAGATTGTCGCCTATCTGCTAAATCTGTGTCTAAAGAGGAAGTCGACAACTTCGCTCTACTCTTTCCAAAGATCAAACATTCTGCACTTTTGGGACCTGCACAAAGCAACAGAAGCATCAACAGAAAAAAAGACAAAGGATTATGTAAATGTATGTAAAGCTACACAAACTAACAAAGGAAAAGTGTATATAAACTGAAGACTCCTGCAGCAATTAGCTGGTTGGCATATGGCTCATATGGGAACCTTGCACCAGGTATGAAGCATCAGCTATACAAATGTAAAGTAAAAAAAACTAAGGAAGAAGAGGGCGTACCAGCCCAATCCACTGCCAATCTCTTTCTTCCATAGTCGTTCACAACCTTCAGCCGAACTCCATCAACTCGAAGCCCAAGCCCGCGATCGATCTCTCCGCCTCTTCCTCCTTTTGATCCAACTCCTTTCAGTCAAACCCCAGCCTCCACTTCCTCTACTTCTTTCGAAGTCATCCGCCTCTACTTCTACTGTGCTGATCCAGAGGGCCTTTACCCGTTTAACCGGCCTCTTGTGTCGACCAATCCTCCCAATCCTTTACCCAATTGCACTTCAACATCCACAAGACCTGCCTCTACACACGAAATCCCATACCCAAAGCTAGCCTGCTCCGTTTGATTCCTCCTATTCCTACAACATGCCGGTGCCCGACATGCCTCTACCTATTTGAAATCCTCCAAGTCGAACCACTCAAAGTCGAAGGCTCGATCTGACTCTTAAGCTGTCGTGTTCGACCCTTCCACACCACCCAACCCTTATAGCAACCAGAGCCGGTTGATTCGACGTTGAAATCTCTCTGATTTCCTGCTCCCGCCACACCAAGCAACCCCTCGCCAATCTCATTCTTCCTCTACCTCACATCAAACCCGACTCAAAGCAACCACTAACAGCTCTTTCCTCCTCCATTTAACCCAACCATCACAACAACAACTCCTAGCTCACTGAAATCCAACCCAAAGACTATTAACTCCTCTAAACAATTCATTCTCCTCCTCCTTTTGTCATTACTACTACCAGTTATTACCAATAACTACCATTTTTAATTACTATTATTAATATTAATATTAATATTAATACTAATATTATTATTCAATAAAACAAAAAAGAGAGAAAAATTGAGTAAAAAAAAAGAAAGAGGAAAAGGCCAAAAAAGGATGTGAGGAATTAAAAAAAAAAGTGAAATATTTGTGCTTTTGTGCATACTTGTTATCGCCGTCACATCGTCACCGCTGTTGACTCTTACATGAAGGTATAAATGCTTCAAACCCAAAAAGCCTCCAAAAGCCCGCTTTCGATGCTCGTGGCGCGCCGGTGGACCACCTATGTAGTGTCTCAGTGCCTGTGGGAAAAAAGCTGCATGTTCAAACAGGTACCTCTGAAAACCCATGAACTCCTTTCTTTGACGTGGTGGGATTGAAGACCACAACCACTGTATTGTCTGACACTAACCATGCACGTCTTTCTCTAATGTGATGGGTAGGCTAAGACTCCCAGATTTTTTTCTAAACAGGAGACGTCGAGAGGCTGCCAAAATTCAGAATGAAACGACGCGCAAAACCTAAGCAAATATAAGGGGACTTGAACTTAAACAGACAGTTGGAAATGGAACCTAAAATGATGAAGAACAGGGAACAATAAGGTTTTTAATAAAATACATACAAAATCAGGGAATAAAATTATGGGATAGAACTAACTGTAGAGGAATTACAATAAAAAAGTCATAATGTTGAAATTTACAAAAGTAGGGACAACTCATCCATGCATATTGTTTTGCACAAGTAGTGGTGGGATGGCAAGACTTCTGAATTAGTGAGGTACTGAGGTGGCATTGACAAATTTCTTGGATGTTATAGTCTAGATTGGTGAGGGGACAACTATTGTGTGGCATAAAACTACCAGTTTCTAATAAAATGCATATTGGGGGAATAAAACCATAGGATAGAACTAACTACTAAACAATTACAATAAAAATTTATAATGTTGAAATTAACAAAAGTAGTGACAACTGATTCATGTGTTTCGTTTGGCACAAGTAGTGGTGGGATGGCATGGCTTTTGAATCAGTGAGGTGGCAATGACAAACTTCTTGGATGCTATATTCTGGATTGGTGAGGGGGTAGCTATTGCGTGGCAAGAGACTATTGATGCGGTGCATAATGGCAATGGGACATGAGGGGGTGATAGTCCCTTGTCCATTTCCACACTTTTTGTCAAATAAATGAATGGATGTCATTGATTCTAAGTTTGCTTAATAATTTTTGAAAGATTATTTCTGATAATCTTTTGGTGAGTATTTTGATAATATAGTTACATGTAGTTGCGAATGGGGAATAAATTAAACTAATGCCAAGCTTCTATTCTATAAGATTTATATCAACTAAAATATGCTTTGTACTGTCATATTGCATGGAATTATATGCAATATTGATTGCTGACCTGTTATCACCATAAAGCCTCATAGGATCTTTTTATTAAACCTTAAAGTCTTGCAAGATAATTTTCAACCATAGCAATTCTTAGATTCCCATTATCATAGATTTAAATATGTTGACCTTGATAACTATTACAAAGCTAATGCGAGTGAATATGGAAAAATGGCGAGTGATGGTGCAATGTTGTGCAAATGTTGTCTGAAATGCATCGCTTAAGAATGAAAATTGTTGGACCATAAATTTGGCATGATGGAGAGTCTCGAGGTCATTCAAGTGAATTGGACTGCACTTGGCGATAACTTTATAGTCTCGATTGTCTGATTTGCTCAACAACATTAGTAGTCGGCCCCATGACGTCAAACATCCTACTACTCATTTGGTCAATAATTCTTTCACTGGGTTATACTTCTTACATTTCAATTTAATGGTCGTTTCCCATTTTGTGGGGTCTTTATTCATAAACAAGCTTGCAATAGGGGAGTGTGAATAATCATGTGGAGAAGTCGCTATAGACACTACATCATCTCAACATTTTCTTACGTTGTTCAAGCCTATTATACTCCTCAATTGTCCCCTAATAATCGTGGTCATCTATCATGACCAAAATTTCCTCCTCAGTAAGTTCGTCGTCTGGCATTCCCTCCGATCTTCTCCATTTTAATAATTGTTTACAAAGAAGACATGAAAGTTTTATATTAGAGAAGAGGGAATATATCAAAATGCATCAGGATAAAATCAAATACTAATAGACATAAATGTGTCTTTATGTTAAAGTTCAACTCGTACATTTTGTTAACCAATTTTGTATTAAAAGAAATATATAAAGTTGAATTCTCAATTTAATGTTAAAAAAAGCTCTTGGAAATCCTCAATGTCAACTATTTGCAGCAAGTATTGTCCATTTCGAACACATCATATTTATTAGGAGGCATTTGTTGACCTCGAGCATAAATGGCGAGCAATGGTCACAATGTTGTGCAAATGCTATTCAAAACTCAATAACCAAGAACAAAAGTTACCCAAACAATTCCCGTAAAACTGACTGTGTTAGGGCTTTATGGATATTAGAAACAGTTAAGAGAGATGCACATATTGCTTCGATCATCACACGAGATAAAAATTAGGAAATTCACTTCCGCGCGAGGCGACTGCACAAATTTTGATGTGCATGAGCATAGAGAAACTTGCAAGAAATCAATATGTATATTATTATTATTATTATTATTATTATGATTATTATTATTTAAGAAAAAAATAAAAAATCAATCAAAAATAAAAAAATCTTCTCAACCATCCCTTTGCAATCTCTTGCTATCCCTGAATCCACGTGCTCATACCCTCTACGATGCTTCCTAAAAAAAAAACTTAATTTGCTCGCTCGCTCGTGATCTATCTCTCTCTCACTCTCGCTCTCATGCATGGTCTCTCTTTCTTGTCCCCTTCTCACGCTCTCCCACCCTTCCGCCTCTACCAAATTTTCAAGATCGCTAGTGACAAAGAAGCAAGGAAGCAATACATGGAGCTCACTGAAGAAGGCATTTATAAGACCTACAGTGTTTTGAGGTGAGGAGACCCTGTCGAAGCTCTTTGTTATAAGGCCTCAATAGAGCCAATAGCACGTGGAGGAGAAGGGGAGCTTGTGAGACATGCAAGCTTACGTTAAATCATACACGAATATTACCGCCGCTATCTCAACCACTGGCATGCTCCTAGAGCATTTTTCTCCCTCTTTTTCTCTCTAGTTCACTCTCTCTACTTCTATCACTCCCTCTCTCATTTCTTTCTCTTTCTCTCTCAAACTCTCTCTTCTGTTATGCCCTCTCTTTCCCACTTTATCTCTCTCTCTATCTTCTTTTCTCTCTTTCTCATTCCCCCTTCTCTCTCTAAAAAGAGATAAAATGTGTATATTCAACTCATTGCACATTCGCCATTGTCGTCATTACATCATTTCACGTGCAATGTATAATACAAAGCAACCTCACACCTCGGCTTAAGTACATGCAAGCATCTTTCTTGACATGGTGTAGAAATCTTATGTTGCCTATGTATTTTCTCATTTAGGTGACCTATACATCCATTTCTTGGTGCAGTGGGGAAGAAGATATTGCTGCCGCTCAAAATAAGTACCTATACACATATTTCATGATACAATGGAGAAATTCTATTTGCAAAATTTTCGTACAAGTATGAAGACCAATATGTGCCTTTCTTGCTATGGTAGGAGTAGAAGATATGACCATGGTAGGCAGGCACATACCCTCTTTAGATGCGCCCTATGCGGGGGAGACGTCGAGAGGATGCCAAAATCTTCAATGAGCTAGACTTGCACAAAATTTAGAAAGAATAAAACAAAAGTACATTCCCGACTATATATGTGGCAGAAATGATAAACTTGTAAGATATCAATTAGTTTCTTAATTGTTTTATGAATTTGTTACTGAATAATTGAATAACTAGTGAACAATTGCCTATCCTTAAGTAATTAGTTATGGTATCTATTTGAGCACTGCTATGATTGTTTTGTTAGCTGAACTAATAAAATTATGGATTACCTGCTAACAAGGAAATACAATTATTTGCCTATTGCACTTCATTTTCTGCTTTGTTTTTGTCCATCGTAGTTAGCAACGAGCATTGAGGTTAGTGAGTGATTGAATCTTGAACTTACTGAAAGTCATCAGTAATTCAGTATATAGATATGGGGGTATCTGCAATTGGACCAGTAGGTAATTGCATTTTTTTTCTCTTAATTTTCTAGATATTTCATATTTCTATGCTAAAGTAGTCCTTTCGTAAGACATAATAATGGAATACTGTTTTATAAAAAGCATATGCGACTCCTGAGTTAATAACATTTTAATTCTTTTTTTCCTCTATTCCATTCAAAAAGCATGGAGCCTTGTACCTTGTTGTTGTATTCAGTGAAGAGATTACAGATGGTAATATCATTTTTGTCCTTGAGGGTGTTGTTGAACCAACTGTCATTTATGGCATGAAGTAGTTCTACATATGGAAAAAGGAAAACATTATGAAGTGAATATTGTGGATGTCACTTGATGCCTCCATTCTCTGCTTGCTTGATTATTCTGCTCTCTTGGCAGGTGATCCTGTGAAGATGGCTATGGCTACTGTTAATGATGATCTTCCTCCTCAGCAAACTTTTGATGAATTATCGAAAAGCCTTACAGCTTTGTTGCCTAGGCTTTCGGTATGTTGTCCTTGCCTTTCCTTTGAAGTTTTGTTTGGATGAAGGAAATAGTGGGAGATGAAATGAAATACTTACAATTTATTGGTTGATTAGGATTCAATAGGAAGTAATTTGAGCTTTTCGAAACTTTTTTTTCCCTTCCCCTTGAATTCCCAGAATTCAAATAGAGCTTAATGTATTTTTATTGAATACCAATTTATCAAATTTGGCCATATCTTATGGTTAAAAGAGAAGCATAATACTAAGTTAAGTGTGGCAGAGATGAGGATGCTCAGGTGGATGAGTGGCTTTACCCTTAAAGATAGGATACGAAATGAGCATATACGTGAAAAGGTTGGAGTAGCTCCAGTAGAAGATAAGATTAGAGAGAGTCGCCTTAGATGGTTTGGTCACATAAAAAGGCGGCTTTCCGATGACCCGGTTAGGAGAGTAGAGGTATTAGATTTGACTTGTGTTAAGAAAGGTAGGGGTAGACCTAAAAAGACTTGGTTAGAAAATATTAGGAATGACCTTTCTTTATTAGATTTAAACAAGAATTTGACTTTTAATAGGACACAATGGAGAAAAAGGATTCATGTAGCTGACCCCACGTAGTGGGATAAAGGCTTGATGTTGTTGTTGTTGTGGCCATATCTTATGGAAAAAATTGACCAAGAAGAATCATGCAACTGGCCTCATTGGAAGATGCGGTCTGTTTGATGTGTTCTTCAAGTTGATTCCAGTTTATAAACCATCATAAACCAACTTCTTTATGTCAATTATAGGTTTAAATTTTATTTGTCCTTAATTGACGGTCCAATCTTTTTTATGTAAGTATCAAAGAGCATGGCCCAAGTGAAGCTTAAAGTTTTAACTTTGGTTAACTAAAGGATGCAAATTTTTTCAACTAATAAGCAATGCATTATTTTTCTCAACAACAGATTGAAGAATGATAGTGTATGATATGATATGCCATTCATGCATGACCACTTTATAAGAACTTCTTCGTAATTGTGTTTGAAAATGAATGGACATGGATTGAAGTGAATGAGTTCTGTTTTGGCTTAATTGGGATTAAATTTACTTCCATTTTTTTCTGGAAATCTAAAGCTGGTGATTTAAGGATCAGACAAGAACTAACCTGACTCGTGCTGCGAAAAATTTTCCCAGTTTGAAGTTTGATCTCAGTTAAAGGTTCAGGTTTGGTTTGAAATTTCTAAAATTGATCGTTGTTTGATTGGTCTTGTTGGTGAGAGCTGATCAGAATCTTTAGCAATTTTTGATAATGCATAGTTAATTTTTGTTCCAAAGATAATTGATTGAGGTCGACTGTATAGTATTTTTCCTTTCTATGTACCCTGCTGCTGGATTTAGATATTTTTTATAGGATAAATTGACAATGCTTCCTGCATACAAATGCATGAAAAAATAATAATTTCATTTTCTTTGTGCAAGCACTTTCTTCCACCTTGAACTCAAAGGAATTTATAAAAATTTCATGAATGCTTGTGGTCAATATTAATACCTAGAAGATCATGGAAGCATGGCAATTATCAATGACTTAATAACACTTGGTTGATTTCATTATTGATTAGGAAAGCTCATGTTTTTTGCTAGTATTTTCAAAGTGTTAAAGAGCAATGGCGCAAGAGTTCATTTTTACTTTGATGTACAAAGTGCAAAGAGAAGCGACACTTTTATAAATTATAACATGCATGATTTGTTTATCATATATGTGCATATAACACGTTATTTAATCAATTAAATTTAAGCAATATCGGGTATTGAATAAATATACTTATATTTTAGGTATAATAATGTTGTGCTATTTCAAAAGTCAAAAATGAAATATCAAAGATATAAATAATAATGTTATTAAAGAATTCTTAAAAATTAAGAACAATGAGATTGAGCGACTAGTTAGGGACCAACATGTGATGATAGTCTGAACTAACAAAGTTATGAATATGAGGCATCCAAAAGCATTCTTAAGAAAAATTTTGAAAGTGAGAAGTTCCTAGCACTCATAACAAGAACCAATAAAAAGCATATAACAAAACTTGGAGGCAAGAGAGTGACTAGAAGAACCAGTAAGAAAAGAGTAGCTCCAGTAGGAGGGTGGAGAATTCAAATCAGTCATCTTTTCTAATTCCCTTAATAAATCTTTTCTAATTCCCTCCCAAATCTGAATTCAAATTAGCCCTCATTCCCTAAATTAACATTTCATAATTCCCTCTCAAATCTGAATTCAAATCAACCATCTTTCCTTAAATAAACATTTTCTAATTCCCTCCATTTTAGTTTTTTATGGTAAGTAATTAAAGTTGAATTAATCCCCTTTGCTCTTCTTGCCTGCCGCCCACCCTAGTGGGGTCCACAACCTCAACCAGTCCATCAATACTCTCCTCCCAACGAGTCACCTTGTCCTCAAGGTGGAACGAAGAAACAACTTATGTAGCACTTGACTAGTAGCACTAGACTGGAAAATGGACTGACACTGGGTCGAATGATCCCTGCCTCCAATAAGGGTGTCAATATTTGACTCGACCTGAAACCCTACCCGAACCAGACCCGAAAAATTTCGGGTTCGGATTAACCCATTTGCCAAACAGGTCGAGTTTGGGTTTCATTTTTTGACCCGCTTATAAAATCGGGTTCGGTTCAGGTTGACCCGGAAACTTGAAATCAACCCAGGTTGACCCGAAAATCAGCCTGCACCGCAGTGCGATCCCTTGCTACAAACTAAGCACCTCGCTCTGGCATCATCGTACCGCAGCGCAATCCTCCGTTCCGGTCAAACAGTAGCAAGTCAATATCGAGTTTGACGTGAACCCCACCCGCAACCCGATTTTGACACCCCAAGCCTCCAGTATCTCCCAGATCAATCTCTCGATCTCATCCTTATACATATGTGTGCTTACAACTTAGTCTAGCCACATCCGTCAGGCTTACCCAAGTTGGCTTACCTCCTCCGTAGGCTTTTGGCCTATTCATGTGGGTTGACATGAACTTCAGTTTTCATTGGTTAAAACTTATTATGTGTTAGGTTTACCCTCTTTTGGCCCATCCTCTTAGTCCGCCCATGGAACTTGGCTAGCTGATTATTCAAGCTCAAGCCAAAATAAGTAGAATTGTTTTACAGGAGGGAAAAAAAATCTTTTTTATAGTACCTTCCTTTTCCTGCGAGGCCACATGTTCAAAATATTTTTTCATCTCGTTATTTTTATCAAATCTAGCCTTTTCCTGCATAATATTGAAGTGTATACATATCTGATTGAATGAATCTCACAGGAGATTAATTGATGCCCATGTTTTAGGATTTGGCAGATATTATACCAAAGGATACACTCATCTGGAAGATCAAACTTCTTAAATCAGCAAGCTCATATGTCACTTCTCGTCTGCATGCAATAAAAGCAGAAGTTCTAGTACTTGCCAGGTTTCTCTTTTGACTTGTCATGTTGTAAATTTTGTTTGAAATTGTTCTGGCTGATGAAAATTTAAGCGACCATGGAGATTGATGGTTATCCGAACTCGAACTGGGCAAGTGCAAGAAACAGCCTACTGTTCTGATAAAACATTTGTCTCTAGCAAATTTACATGTGAACCTAGTCTTTTTTTATCCATCTATACTTTAGCTGGTAACTAAAGAACTAGATAAAAAAAAACTCATGTTAATTTCTTACTTTTTTCCTAGTTGTTTGTAACTTTGAAATGGTTTATATTTTGGATTTTTGTTAGAAACTGCTTGCATGTCTTGTATTTAATGGCAATTTTCAAGGGTTAAATAGTCAGTATCCAGTGAAAAAGTACACCATGCACTTTTAGTACAACATTTTATCGTGTAGAATTACCAAGTTTAAAAGACTGGCACATCTCCAGATATCAGCATATTAATTTTCGAGAGGTTGTGCTGATATATGTGACACACGGTGATGGATCTACTACCCTATTCCTTGACGTAATTTACAAATATTTGATCTTATGTAATGCTACAGGATATAGCACATAAAGTATTCCAATTGATGCTATAATCTAGTTGCAATACTTGGACTTCAGAAATAGGCACAATTTTTACGATAGATATCGTTAATCATGTCCTTGGATATGTAGGAATCTGTTTAGGCTTTGTTTTGATGGACAGCCCAAAAAATTTTCTTATAATATTTGTGTATTCATAATCTATGAAATATGTTCTAACGTTTCATTTTTATGATTCAGTGGAAAGGATAACTTGCTACCGAGCAAGGATGAAGCAGATAGATTGTCGTCTTCACTTAAAAACTGTCGTGTGCGCTATTTTAAGGACAGCGGTCACACATTGCTCTTTGTAAGTTGCATTTCCTGGTATGATTTTTCTGTAAATAATTCAAAATTGTACTCCATATATTGCAAGAGATTTTTTTGTTGTTCTGTTTCACTGAATACGTTTTCTTCTTTTCTTTTTGCTCAAAGGATACTAGAGCTGCATGTTATCCCTAGTGAGAGCCTTGAAAACTTTCCCTCATTTCCAGAATTAGAAGTGAAGCCCAAGCTGGCTGCTTATTTCTACTAATTTAGGTTTCGTTTGGGACAACTTCTTTACTGCTTTCTAAAACAACTTTCTAGCACAAAAATTTCTTGAATTAGAAAATTTTTGACTGAAAAGGAGTTTGATAAAGTAACAAAAAAGCTGTCCCAAATAAAACCTTAGTCAATTGGGGAGCTTGAGGTTTGTTCTGGGACAACAAACACTTATGCACTGATAACCATTCATTCAGTTTGTTTTAGCATTAAACTAGTAATAGTTTTGTTTAAAGTGAAAAAAAAATTGAGGACGAATGCTGTCTTAATATATAAGACTGTATGGTTGTTTATTATGGTTGTCACTTTTGAAGTTTCTTGTTTGCAAACTTAAATGTGATAGAATAAATATTACTGTCCAGATTTCGGGGTATGTGTTTGATATTGTTACTGAATTCTTATTGTTTAATCCAGGAAGATGGAATTAATCTTTTGACTATCATTAAAGGTGTCAATATGTACCGGCATTCTAAATGTATTGACTTTGTTGAAGATTATCTTCCTCCTACAATAGGTGAATTTAGGAAATCATTTGAGCAAGGCAATAGGTACCTATTCAACTTAACTAGGAATTTTGGTTGAAAAAGATTATTAACATTACTTGTTTCAGTTCTTCTCACGTTGGGGTGATTAATTTCAGATTATTCCACCATGCAATCAGTCCAGTAATGCTGTCCACCCTTAGAACTGGAAGAATAGTGAAGGGTCTTAATGGCATCCCAAATGAAGGTCCTGTTTTGTTAGTGGGTTATCATATGTTGATGGGACTCGAACTTTCTTCAATATATGAAGCATTTCTGAGGGAGAAAAGAATCATCATCCGTGGTATGGCACACCCATTTTTGTTTTCAAGCAGAAAAGAAAATTCACAGCAAGAATTTTCTCGCTTCGATGAAATGAATGTCTTTGGTGCATTGCCTGTTTCGCCAATGAACTTATATAGGCTACTTGCGAAGAAATCATTCGTGCTTCTTTATCCAGGAGGTGCACGTGAAGCACTGCATCGGAAGGTGTGTTAAAATGTCCACTGCTTTTACTTCTTTGACCCTTCTGAAAATTTATTTTCCTGTAACTTGGATATTCATAATGCGCTGCTTTGATTTATTTCATTCAAATCACTTTGTAATACTAATGGACATTGGAACTGGATGGAAACTAAAGTACTCGTTCGATTAGAATATGTATTTTGGCACTTAAACTAAACATGATATTTCAAACAGGAATGGAGCCAGATAATAGAGCAGCAGAGTACAGAAGTATATATCCTCTGATTTGACTCTTTAGATGTAGGAATACCTAATAAACTTATAGAAATAACTTTCAAGCTGCGAATTGGTGGCATTTAGCCTCGTCCTGAACTATTCTATACCTGCTTTATTTAACTTTTTTGCTTGACCACCATCAGTTGTGTTAACAAAGAAGCTGAACTGATAACCTGATGGTTTTATTGTCTCCATGGAACCTCTACTACCTTATTCTATTCAAAACTCTTTTTGTTTTGAAGTTATTATATCCCTGTCAATCTTCATCTCCCCAAACTATATTTGAATTTTAGTTTGAATTCAAAATTGTTCAAATTCCAATTCAGAATCATTCAATACCTTATTCTATTCAAAACTTTTTTTGTTTTGAAGTTATTATATCCCTGTAAATCTTCATCTCCCCAAGCTATATTTGAATTTTAGTTTGAATTTAAAATTGTTCAAATTCCAATTCACAATCATTCAATCGGTTCTTCCAGTAAATTTTCCATATAATCCAATTCAAATATCACCTATGAATCTATCTTTTTTTAATGTCAATCATCCTAAACCAAAATATTCCACAAATTCCTCTCTCCAATTCATTGAAGCTAGTTTTTAGCCATCCGTAGATGGTCATTGTTAACATGATCAGTAACCAACCCTTTTTTTTCACCTTTCCTTGAAACACATTTGTCAATTGATAGTACTCTGAATCAATATACCCCTTCCCCCCCTTCCCTATATTTTTCATGCAAACTAGCTCTTAATTTCTAAGTAGAGCCGTAATACATGGAAAAAAGGGAACTAGAAAGAAGAAAGAGAATTGAGATATTGTTTTCCTTCAAGATTGTTGATATCCCCCTTGTGATTTCTTTGACTCAGGGTATTATATACTTTTGTATGAGAAATTTGGTAACATGACTAAGCAAGAAACAATCAATCATTGCAAGAAATTGTGTTAAAGCCGAGTTTCAAGTCATAGAACATGGAATATGTGAGAAATTGTAGCTCAAATGATTGCTATGAAAGTTAAGGATCCCAATTGATGAACCTATGAATGCACTATGCGACAACCTTATAGTTTGAAGCATTACTAGAAATCTTGTCCATCACAATGGAACCAAGCATGTGGAAATTGAACAGATAAAGTTGAAGATAAGAACATTATTTTTAGCTACACACCAGCTCTTCTCCAAATAGCAGATATCCTCACAATGTTCTTCCTCGAACCAATTTTGAAGATTTGACATCTAAGTTAGGAATATTAAATATATACTTTCAAGCTTGAGTTGGAGAGTGAAAATTTTTATTTTCTATTTTATGCTACATAGTTTATAGCTGAGAATTATGTGTTTTATTTTTCCAAACTAGGAGATGCAGATAGTACCTGAAATTTTTTTTAATTTACTCTCCTTTTTTAGAGGGATTTGTTTTAGATTATAGCCTCTGAAATCTCACTAGTAATTGGCATGTTTTGTCATCTCTTTTCTATTTAAGTAGTGTGTATTTCTCATGAAATTTTATAAAGAAACTAGCATTCTCTCATTTTTATTCCTCATATTTTCGTATAAATTTTTAAAATCCTTTTAATAAAGTGAGAGTAGTGAGTGCCTTTACTCATCTAGAAATTGATATGAGTTATCCATATATTTGCTTTTCATAATAGAATTAGAAAAGGAATTAGATTCCACTTGCATGGATATTCAAATCCATTTAAAAAGAATAGAAATGTTCATAATTCAAAGTCCTTAACTCCAAGCACTTAATTTTTTTTTGTATGTAAATGTTTTCTCAATTAATCAAGTTGAATCTTTTTCCCTTGTCATTGACTTTCCAGAAGAAATTTTTTTCGTTCTATTCATTTTTTTTATGATTCATTTAGACACCCAAAAGAAGAAACAAAGAGCTATATAAGATATGATTGAATAATTTATAACCATCCGACCTCTTTCAAAGAGTTTGCCTATCTAAGAAGCAAGTTCTTTATAAATTTTATTGATGATCGGGTACCAAAATTCTTTCTATAAGCTTTAGAGCAAAGTGGGAGATCAAAATATTTAAAAGGAAGAGATTCTAGGGGCTAGCCCATTGCTTTAGTAATAGAATGCCTTTCATTATTGCAAGTGCTAAGATAAATCAAAGAATATTTAAAAAAATATTATTTTGAGAACCGAAACATCTTAAAAGAGAAGCAAAATGTTTTTTATGGCTATGATTTGAGGATTAGAAGCACTACAAAATAAAAAGGTATAGTTGCAAATCGAATATTGTTAATAACATGTCACTTTTGTTGCATTTTCAACCCTCAGTCCAACCATCTTTGACCTCAACTTTGAGCATCTTATGAAGTACATCCCCAATAATAATAATACAAGGAAGAGATCTTACCTAAATCCTTCATAACATTTGAACTAACTGTTGAGATCTAAATTAACTATGACTTGAGAATTAACATTAATTAATGATTTGTTATAATGATTTTTTATCTAAGAAATGAACTTAGGGGGGAAGAATCTTTTATTAAGAATTAAGAGCATTAAGAATAAGAATCCCAACAGTCAAATGCTTTTTCAGAGTCAACCTTGAATATGAATGCATATTTCTTTTGCTTAAGAGTGCAGTGTATAAGTTCAAGGGATTCAACAATACAATCTATAGTATCTCTGCCATCAGTGAAAGCTCCTTAGGAGTGATGAAGCGGAATGAAAATTTTGAATCAATTGGCCAAAACTTCTATGAATATTTTGAACTCCCAATTGAGTAGGCTAATAGGTCTAAAATTCTCGTGATTATCACAAACATCTTTGTTAGGAATAAGACATATGTTAGTAAAGTTTAAGCTAACAAGAGATGCCTCATCCAAGCAAATATATCCAGAAACATTTTTTTCATTTTATCCATATGAATAGTATCTCACATTTTTTGAAAGAATTTGTATAAAATCATTTGGACTTGGAGATTTGGAAGCACAAAAAGAGGAAGTAGCTATATTTATCTCATCTAATGAAAATGGAGAGTAATTCTAGGAGAGATAGATAGTTAGAAATTTTAAACTAATGTACATAAGTACATTCATTAAGTGCCTGACTGAAGCATTTTCTTTTATTTTTCTTAAGACGGTCATCAAACACATGAATTATTATTATTTTTAATTAAAACTATATCCAATTTTCTTGAATAAGGTTCCTTTTTTTTTTCACTTATTAACAAGTCCATAACATAATAACTTTTTATATCTCTTATTAAAAACCATTTAACTTTGGATATTTGGTGTCGCTAGATTTCTTTCTTTTTTAATTTATCCTATGACCACTTCCTATCATTTTCACTATCGTCATGATCTTGGATAGAATGAAGAATTCATCTTATTCTTTCTTGATTATATGATGTTTCATTCTACAAAATTTAAGCCACTTTCTAGTGAGTTTGAGCTTCACAACTAATCCCTTAAGAACTTCTTAAATGAAGTAATCCCTCCACCCGTTAGAAATCATCTTTAAAATTTCTCCATGTTGAATACGGTGGTTCTCAAATCTTAGTAGAGGGCATTTGTGACTAAAAGTTTTATTAGATTAGATAATTGGGCAAATGATCCAAGAACAATTTTTTTATGGCTTTTTGCTCTCCAATGGGAAACAGAGCATCACATAGGGTGACAGAAGTCGTCTATTTAATAATATTGCTTTATATTATATGCAACATTGATTTGATGGAATGGATTTTATTTAAGTGCCTTATTGTTTCACATACGAGAAAACACTGCTATTAAATAACGCAGAAATACTTTTTTTTTATCTTTTGATGGTTTACAGGGGGAAGAATATAAATTATTTTGGCCGGATCAGCCTGAGTTTGTGAGAATGGCTGCTCGGTTTGAGGCCACAATTGTACCATTTGGGGTTGTTGGAGAAGATGATATAGCAGAGGTAAGAATTTGATTTTCGTTGCAATTTGCAACTTCATCACTGTATAGAAAACATGAAAGCATCCAAATTTGTCACTGTATCAGTATATTTCAATTATTTCTTAAAAACAAACCTTAAATTACTTTGACTATTTAAAAAGAACATTCCTTCAAATTTTGTGTTTCAAATGAAATTTTGATTTTTTTTTTTTTTTTTTTTTTTTGGTCGCGTCTAAAGATTTGGCCTCTTATAAAATATTGAGGTTTGTGTAACCTTCTTGTGGCATATAATTTTCCATTATTTTTCTATCTTGGGTTCTCCAACTTTAGTTGCTCCAGCAAGACTTCGCCTCTATATTTACGTCCATTGAATGTGAGATCTTTGCTGCATTTACTCTTTTTTTCTTCAATAAAGTTGGTAGACATCAAATTGGATGCTTATTTTACCCTTGCTATTAGTGTGGAATTAATTGTGATGTTTTTTAATAACCTTTATCAATTAGATTCATTAAAATGTGATAGTTATAAAAAAAAGTTGTTCAACGGTCAAAAACAAGTTTAATTTTTTAAAAGAAAAAAAAAATCTTTAATACTCATAATAGCTTTCAAAAGTTTAATTTTCCTGCAACCCTTTTACTAAAATGTTTGCAGAGATGAGGATGCTCAGGTGGATGAGTGGCTTTACACTTAGAGATAGGATACGAAATGAGCATATACGTGAAAAGATTGGAGATGCTCAAGTGGATTAGAGAGAGTTGCCTTAGATGGTTTGGTCACATAAAACGACAGCCTTCTGATGACCCGGTTGGGAAAATAGAGGTATTAGATTTGACTTATGTTAAGAAAGGTAGAGGTAGATCTAAAAAGACTTGGTTAGAAAATATTAGAAATGATCTTTTTTTTTTAGATTTAAACGAGAATTTCACTTTTAACTGGACACAATGAAGAAAAAGGATTCATGTAGTCAACCCCACATAGTGGGACAAAGGCTTGATGTTGTTACCTTTCACTAAAATGGTTCGACTTAGATTGACCAGATTTTATATCCTGCTCTATGCCTATACTCCTTACAGCATTTTGTTTCCATCATCTATCCTGTTTTATTTTATTATATTTTTTGATCATATTTAAAGCTCCCTACTGCAGCTAGTACTCGACTATGATGATCAAACAAGAATCCCCTTCATGAGAAAACGAATAGAAGAAATCAATCAAGATTCTTCTTTGAGATTAAGGTACATTGCTTCTTCATAGTAAATATTCATTTAATTCTCTATGATTCCATAATGAAGCTAAGATTTTTTATTGCAGGACTGATAAGAGTGGTGAAGTTTCTAACCAGGAACTTTACTTTCCTTGGCTTCTGCCGAAGGTACCAGGTCGCTTCTATTTTCTGTTTGGCAAACCAATAGAAACAAGAGAAATGAAGAGTATTCTGAAAGACAGAGAGAACGCAAATAAGCTTTATTTGCAGATAAAATCTGAGATTGAGAGCATTATTGCCTATCTGAAGAGGAAGAGAGAAGAAGACCCGTATAGGAGTATCTTCCAAAGAGCAATATATCAAGCTTCTTGGGGTGTAGATTCTGCTCCCACATTTGAACCTTGAATTAATATTAAATTCATCAAAATTTGTATCTGAATCATCAATCAATAGTAATTTTGTACATCCTTTGATGTTAAATCAATTTTAATTTATTGCAGGAATCATTCAGGTTCCTCTTTTTCGTTGGTTATTGTCACTAATCTTTTATGTTTTTTTTTTTTTTTTTGGATTTTTACATACATAACACCTAAAATCATTGTTATTACATATCTAACACCTAAACTATCATATTTATTTATATACCACCTAAAACTCTCATTTTTCATCTATTCTAACACTCCATAGTCATATTTTAGATATTAGGAATAATTTTCATCTATTTTAACACTCCGGAGTCATATTTTAAATATTAGGAATGTTGTTTGGGTGGTATATAAGTAAATATGATAGTTTAGGTGTTAGATATCTAATAACAATAGTTTTAGGTGTTATGTATGTAAAAATTTCTTTTTTTTTTAAAGTATTGATAGTGATAAATATTGTTGCTTTTTTTATTTTTTTTAGAACGGAGGTATTCATCCGCGAGATGTTTGACGGCATAACTAATTCCTCAATGAGTCTATCAGCAACTAACTCCACAACGGTAGAATCCAGAGGCTGCATGAGAGGGGATTCAAATATGAGTTAGAAAAATTTTCAATCATGTTGGCTTCATTTTACACTTTGTTCTCCTGTTCAACTAATCATTATTGGGTACTCCAAACAAATTTGACTCTGATTTCAAGTTGAAGGGTTAGAAAAAAATATTAATTTGCAGTTATAATTTCCCATTAAAGTTTTGAAATAGAAACTTCAATCTGTTTTTATGAAATTATTATTAAAAAAGGAAACTTTAAGAAGTTATTATGAGTATTGTAAATTTCACCCTTAAAAAATCTAATAATATTAATAATGTTTAAAAATAGTAAGAAAATTAATCAAATAAAAATATAAGTAGCCCATTTAGATAGTTAGACCTAATTACATGATTATTAAGAAACTTTTAGTTTAAGTTATTGTGTTTAATTGATCAGCTCTTAATTAATCTAATTAATTATACTTATTTTCATACATTATTAATTAGGTTACTTCAACCTAATAATTAAAATTAATAATCTAACTGTAATAATAATGCATAAAAATTATATAAATTAAATAAATATGAAAAAATATGTATGATAATAAATTATTTTAATTGCTCATAAAATAAAAATATATTTAAACTTACAAAATATTTTAAACCCTACTGAAGAAAAAATAGCCACATGATATTGAAGAAGAAATATGCTACATGTACATAATTTAGACGATCATACATTATATTTTATTGACTATTTTTCTATCAAAAAATAATAATAAAACTCTCCAACGAAAACCTAAAGCTGATTTTCTTAGCTGAGAGAAAGCTGCATCAGCTACCATCAACGTTAACTCCATTAAGAAGCTCATTAACAAAGGTAGTCTGAAGGTCGTTATATAACTTCTTCCACTGCTGGACCATTTGCATAGATCTCTTGCATTCTGCTCTCAATCTTTCCAACTCCATTTGTACAGCTCCAGTAGAAGCATTTTGCTGCAGACAAATATCTTCAATTAGAAAGAATTTTATAAGATGCAATCAGGGAAGAGCAGAAAAGCAGGACAAACAAGTTCAGAAGATCAAATTCTGTATGATGAAACAGTTCACTATAGTAATTAAAACAGATTTAAATATAGTCAGGTTAAGAAAAATATTGGGGAACAATCACTGGCAAATGGACTAAGATAAAAGTTAAAGAACAGAAATTTAGTTAACTGAGGAAAATTTTCTGAATCCAACAGCAGCAACAACTTACATAATTGATTAGTGTCATGGCAGCAAAATACTAAAAATGGCAGCCAAATAAGTTCAAAACCATTAATAAGATCCAGGATGACATCCACCTATTTGTAAACAATACAAAAAGGTATAAAAGAATGCATATTTAGAGCCAGAATCTACTGATGATTTTCATTTTTGTTACTTTAGATAGAATTCCATTAAAAGAGAAACATAATAGTAAGTTAAGTGTTGCAGAGATGAGGATGCTCAGGTGGATGAGTGGCTTTATTCTTAGAGATAGAATACGAAATGAGCATAAACGTGAAAATGTTGGAGTAGCTCCAGTGGAAGATAAGATTATAGAGAGTCGCTTAGATGGTTTGGCCATATAAAACGGTGGCATTCTGATGACCCGGTTAGAAGAGTAGAGGTATTAGATTTGACTTATGTTAAGAAAGGTAGAGGTAGATCAAAAAAGACTTGGTTAGAAAATATTAGAAATTATCTTTCTTTATTAGATTTAAATGATAATTTGACTTTTAACCGGACAAAAAAAAAAGATTCATGTAACCGACCCCACGTAGTTGGACAAAGGGTTGATGTTGTTGTTGTTGTAGATAGAATTGCAGATACATCATGCAATTGACATAAACTAGAAAATAATAACATGCCACATAATATTTTACTTAGTAAAAAGGAACAAAAAAGGCAAAGGATGAGACCTGAAGCTCTTTTATCTGACTGCTCATCACGCTGGCAGCACAGTAGCTGCTGTTATCCAAGTCATCAGAAATTTGATGAATCATTTTAACAGCCTTGCTCTCAACTCCATCTTCTCTGGACTCAGTATACTTATCCAAAGGTGGCGCCATTAACGCTAGCTCGAGCTTTTTAGATAAGGATACTTGATTAATTTTATTGGGTTGTCTGACAATAATAACGTTACTGACAGGAGCTGCAATTCAAGGAAAAACAACAGATCATTTATATGGTTAACCGACTTCTTGCTCGTAGGAATGATCCATGCAAGGACAAATGAATGGAATTTACAAGCTGAGAGTTTGTGTTAGAAATTAATGTGCATGAAATACAACAATAGGAACCATGATAATACAATCTAGAGGTAATATACATCACTAACCAGCATAAGCGATCAAAGAAACTCATACTAGAACACTGGTTTTCATATATGAATACTACCAGAATCAAATAAGACTTCGTTTGGGGCGGCTTTCTTATTGATTTCAAAAGTAGCTTTTTAGTACAAAAATTCAATAAAAACAGTGAAAAAACAATGGCTAAAAGCCGTCCCAAACAAAGCCTAAATATTCAAGCCATAACCGTATTTTGGATAGTTAGCTAACTTACTGTATAAATACTTCCTGGAAGGGCAAATGTAACTAGTACTTGCTGAGAAATAATGTCGAATCATTGTCATGGCATTTATCGCTATGAAATATAATCGTATAAATAATGATAATATAAGCCTCGGTTCTCCTTATCAAACAATAACAACAGTGAAAGTTAACATCTCCAAACTAAGAAGAGCTCTTCACCATTAAGAAGAATCTCCTGCTTACACGTCCATATCAATTAATATCAACGACATTTATCTGTAGGCATCATCTGCATCAATTGTGATTGGAACATTCATCTTCCTGATCAGCAAGAATCCAAATACTAAGTCAAAGTTGCGACTTCAAATTGTCTCTAAAAGACAAAGAATGCAATTTAAACTAACACTAGAGTTTTACCTCATAGTCTCAGTTCAGTTTTTGCAAGTGATGAATGTCAAAAGAAGATGCAATGAATAACAAAATAGGAATTTAAAAAAAATAATTTGCAAATGAGGAATGATGAGGAACTGTTTTAGTTCGCAAAATCGTGTTGCCAGAATAATGGGAATGCAAAAATATAACTTTTAAAGCTAGCTAAAATACGCTAATATGAAAAAACATGATAAAAAATATGTTAAAAATGATTAAAATGCAAAACAATTTTAGAATGAAAGATAAGGGAAGAATAATAGACAGTTGTCAATAAAGCGCAGAGAAAAACTTGCGTCAATTAAAGCACAAAAATATCAAATATTGGTATTAGATTTGACAAACACGCATCAAGAAAGTCCCGTGTAAAAATGGCATATAGAGAAAGCATAAAAAAATTAGCTGAATAGAAAATATCTTATATAATGTGAGTACCTTTGGCATGTTTCAACAATCGAGTCATTTGTCCAGTTTTAGTGTTCCAAACCCTGATCATACCGTCCTCTGATCCAGATACAAGGGAGACACCATCCAAGCTAAATGCTAGGCAAGTTATAGCCTTACTGTATATGAGAAAATGTGTGTAAATAAATTAACAAAAATCAAACGAGGAAACTGTGTATTGTGTTGAAATGCACAAATACAAATAGAAACAATACATTAACAGAATAAAAATGTATAAGTTGAGTGCAATTCTATGTAAAATAAAGAAACAAAAATCACATGAGATGGTAACATGTTAAAGCATTTACAATATCACCAAATAGTAAAGGTAAATATTGGAATAAGCATTCACACAACAATTATCATTATAATAAAAGATTTATATGCATCAATTAACCAAGATCATCATTCATCAAATAATTGATATATGTAATTTTCTGAATACAAGTGTACTCAAGTGAAGTACTTTGCTTGAAATTTACACATGGTGGAGCTCATTAGAATAAATTTTCAAGCTAACTTGGATTCTTAGCTGGACATTACACACCTTTTTTTAAATTTAGAATTTAAAAAAAAAATAATAATCATTTTTTAGCAATGCCATTGAATATCCCCTCTCAATGTTGAAACATCTAAGATTAAAAAAAAAATGCTAATTGACTTAAGACTAGCTAGTATGACCTAAACAAACATTTAATTTCATTCAATGCCTATGCATGAAGATTTAGAAAAATAATGAACAAAATATGAGCAATTTCAATGATTTTGAATAAAATATCAACAACTATATTTCTAGGTAAGGCAATAAACGACATCAATATAATAAACAATTAACAAGCAGGTTATGTATATAAAAGGGAAGCATTATGTATGGAGTAAAAAAAATAATTGAACTTTTAAATAACCTTGGTCACATATGCTCTTTAACTATTTATCATATTGATGTTGTTTAATGACGTTACCTAAAAATATGATCAGTCGTATTTACTTCAAGACTTTGAATGTGCTTTTAGACTTTTTTCATCATTTTTTAGAACACCTACATAAGTGTTGAATGGAGTTAAATGGATATTAAGTTTGTACTAGCTAGTCTTAACACAATATAACATTTATCTCACTCTTAAATATTTTAAAAACACGGAAGAAAATGCAATGAAATTGTAAGGAAAACAATCAAAATCTATAACCAGTAAATTCTAAATAAAACATAGTCCATTCAATGTTTCAAGCAATGGCTAGAAATAAATCCAAGTTAGCATGATATTTTTTTCAATTAACCCAACCATATGCAAATAAGCAAAGTTCTTCACATATATTCAGACAATTAGTTGTATCAACAAGTAATTTAATGAATGAGTTTAATTTAAGCCAACAAAATTTCTATAAAATGGCAAGTAGGACTCGAAGTATCCGGACCTCCTTTCTAATATATGTCACCTAGCATGCATAATCAAGAATATCCAGGAAAAATAGGTGGCGTATTTCAAAACTACTGAGGAGGTAAGGGGTTTTTTTTTTGGTATTCAACAGAAAAATTGTTAGAAAATATTATAAATAATCTTTCTTTATTAGATTTAAACGAGAATTTGACTTTTAACAGGACAAAATGGAGAAAAAGGATTCATATAGCCGACCCCACGTAGTGGAAAAAAGGCTTGATGTTGTTATTGTTGTCGTTGATTCAACAGAAAAATTGTTATGCTTGTCCTCATAAAAATTTATGTGTACACTTGTTTCTGTGTGCATGCATGGACCTATTATCTTTTCTGTAGTAATATCGATAAAATATATGTATGTCCGGCAGACATTCATGTATCCATGTATGCATATGGAAGTGCATGTACATGCATATGGAAAAGAATGTTAAAGATATCCATTCTGCCAAAATAATCATATATTCTAATGTATAAGAAATAAATGCATTTCCAAGTAATCATTAAACTACCAAAATTATAACAAAGGCATTGGAAGATTATTACTATTGAATGCTACAAAAAGTACATGGGAGGGTTGGATGAGAAACAGAAAATACCTGTTATCAGATAATGAATCTATAATAAATTTTCCGTAGTTTCTAACAGGATTCCACTCAACATTAAGTGCGGCAACATATATTTTGCCATCTCTACAACCAGCATAAAATATATGCTCCCCGGGATCCATTGCAATTGCATCAATTATGGAAGGAAATGAAATGCTTCTTAGCAACCTCCCCTCCGATAAACTCCAAACCTGAAGCAGAGCAAAATTCACGGTCAAAAGAACATTAAATAATGGTAAAAATATAATGAAGAATCAAATAAAATTATAAAATAATCGCAGAATAAATAATAGGGTATGATCTTGGACATGCAAATTCAAAGGAGAATGTTCTGTTTTGAATGTTGTATGTTTTCGTCTTAATTATATTAAGTTATTTTTGGGTTAAGGACATTATGAAAGAAGCAACAAATTTCACTGAAGAAAACTTAGCATATAGGGCAGGAAAGTTGAATCTACTATGCCACAAATCTAGTGTTCTTGACGTCTAGACAAGCCAACAAAGATCACCGCCTTACCTCAATATAAAAAGTTAATGTAAATGGTGATTTGATAAAAAAAACTACAAACCTTGCAGGTGCGATCCTCCGAGGATGAGATAACAATTGAATTACACAATCCATGGCCTGAAATAACAGATGTTACCCGTAAAGCGTGCTCTGAGAAATTGTATCTGTAAATATTCTCTCCAGACTCTTTTGCTATATCATCGAAAATCCTGTGGGAGAAATCAAAATGCATAGAACTAATTAATTAGGAGAAATATATATGTATAATTAAGATGCACAAAGGATATCATGAGAGAATGCAGTACATTAAAAGAGGCCAAACTCTGATGCTTCCATCCTCAGATCCAGAAATCAGAAGGGACTCATCGTCAGATAGAGTGAGGCAAGTAACAGACCTGTAGTGTGCGGTCCATTTGTTGAGGAGCTTGCCACTCGCTACCTGCTCAGAAAAGATTATAATAAGAATGGATTAAGTGAGAGTAGTTGATATAGAGCGAAGTAAGGCTATCTAAAAGATCACCACCTCCCATAAATATATTGCACCAGATGGACCCCCGCCAATGATGTAGGAACCATCAGAATCAGAAACCAGAGGACCAATAGGTTCAGCAGGGAAGCTTCTAACCTGGACCTGAGGCTGAAAACGAAGAGGACCGGACATCAAAAAATAAATAAGAGAAATATCACATTGGGAAAAGGGATTTGTGTTTTATGTATACCTTCTCCCAGGACCAGAAGAAGATGGGAGCGGAGGAGGAAGAAGGGTTCTCACGGAGTTGTGAAGAGGCAAGGAAACGCCTGGAGACGGAAATTAATCCATGGGGAGGTGAGGCAGAGGAACGATAGCGGAGCTGCTCGGCGCCAGAAACGAGGTCCCAACACCCGATACCAGTATCAACCGAGGAGGATGCCACTATCAACTCCATCATTGTGTCGGCTCGCTGCAGAATAGGGAAAAAGACAGAAGTTAGTAGATTAGGGGTTAGCAAAAACAATAATTTCCACCGACATAGTAAATGACAAACAAACAACTACAGGATTTGAGTAAGATTTATGCTAAATCATGCCAAACGGGATTTGATCGCGCCCCGTAAATCTCACGGCGGAATAAATCCTCCGTTTCCCTCTTTTTACCGTAAATCCAGGATTTACTAAATCCTCGAGTTCGGCGGATTTACGGGATTTGCTCGAAGAAGCGCGCGAAAGGGAGAAAGTTACATTCACAGAGCGAGCGAGCTCCCGTCCTTACTTCCGATCAAAATGTCGTAACTTCCGATCCTACAGGAAAAGGGAACGTCGAAGGAGCGAAGTCGAACGACGACGAAGGAGCCGAAGAAGCCACTCGTGCAACTTACACCGCCTGCAAAGCAAGGAAGCTAAACCCTAAACGACGAAAAAAAGAGATGAAAAGCAAGCCTGAGTTAACTTAATTAATATAATTTAAAATATTAATAATTAAGTAAATTAATTAAATAATTACTGCACAATTTAGTTATCTAATTTTAACTTAATTAAATACTTAGTAATATAATTAGTAATTAAACATTAATATAATTGATATATCATCAAAAAATTATCTTGATCGGGCACGAATCTTGAGGCAAAATCAAACCGAAAATTTCAAAAATTAAATCTGGGATCACACAAATCAAGCACCCAAAGTGTTGTTGGAAAGTTCATACCGCAATTTGAGTTATCAAACGGTCTCCGATTTTAACGAGCTTATAGTCGAATCGAACGGCTCGACGAGACGAAGTCAACGAGTCCAAGATCACTGAATTCCGACATCATTAAGACATTCAAATGTCTAACAAGCGATGCACAATCAAGGGATTCAATATCAACCGTCCATTCAACCACTCCCTATTTGCTCTTGATCTCACACCTATTTACAAGCTATGCCACACATATTTACAAGCTATGCCACTCCAAAAAATCTATAAATAGACTCCTCATGTCTCATAAGAGGGGACACAAACAAGAAGAAGAGAAAAGAAAGATAGGAGGGAATAACTCCTCCTCGACCACCGTCGGAGTTCTGCCCGACGCCCGAGTGACGCCGGAATTGTTCTCAAGTAATGCCAGAATTCTACCCGACGCCAGAATTCTACCAAACTTCAAAACGACGCCGAAATTTTACTCAACTTCGGAACGACGTCGGAACTCTGCTCAACTTTGTAACTGAATCTCAATTTAGGAGAGATTCATAATAATCTGATCGTCTTAACTTTGTGGACGAATCAACCTCTTGTATCTCAAACAAAACACTATTGGAACTATTTCAACTAGGCGAGGCCCCGTAGTTTTTTCCCTTTCAGGGTTTCCACGTAAAAATTCTTGTGTTATTATTTCTCCTTTGTTTGTGTGCTAGATATCCGTACATCATTGAGACAAAAATCTTTTGACTCTACCGCCGCGTATATTCTAGTCCGCAACAATAATTACAACAACAATAACAACATTAAGCCTTTATCCCACTACGTGGGGTCGGCTACATGAATCTTTTTTCTCCTTTGTGTTCTATTAAAAATCAAATTCTCGTTTAAATCTAATAAAGAAAGGTCATTCATGATATTTTCTAACCAAGTCTTTTTAGGTCTACCCCTACCTTTCTTAATATAAGTCAAATCTAATACCTCTACTCTCATAACCGGGTCATCGCAAGGCCGCCGTTTTATGTGACCAAACCATCTAAGGCGGCTTTCTCTAATTTTATCTTCTACTGGAGCAACTCCAACCTTTTCACGTATATGCTCATTTCGTATCCTATCTCTTAAGAATAAAAAAATGTATTAGTTTATAAAAGTTTACTGAAGTTCAAATTCTGGTGGTATGCTTAAAGCTTTTTGAACAAGGAAACAACCATCGTATTCCAAATTAACTTTTCACATTTAAACATTTGTTTACAATTACATGAATCCTAAGTATACATTCCTGTAATAATTTTTGTTATGTGCACGTTTCATTACATGTTCTTTGAGATTAGCATTTTACATGCCCAGCCTTTGATCCATCTTAATTTAAAACAGCTAAGAACCATTTTTCAATCTCTTAGAAATTATTTCGTTGAACAGTTTCCTTTCTGAACTTTCTGCTAATTGGTCAGTCCGATCCAATTTCAATCGAAACAAAATCAGATTGTGTCAGGTTATTTTGATTCGGGCTAGTCCAATTTAATTGGTCTTCTTTGAGTATTCATATTTAATCCTATGTGGCATGAGATCCGATGCAAGTATTTTCCGTGAGCCTTACTAAAAATGTAGCTTACCTAATGTCTATTGAACAAACATCCCCTAGGAACTATGTTGAATTATATGATAACTTGAATAAGACAAAACTAACTAAACATCTCTCCTATACACAAAAATTGAAATCCAATTCGCCTCCACAACTATCGTACAAGCGGAGAATTTAGAAATCAGACAAAAATCGGGCAGCACAACGGCTGTATACATAATTTACACAATTTTCCTGAAAAATCACAAAATACCAAATTTGCACATAATATAGATAACAACATTTCAGAACATTTATTCTATTGCCACAACATTTAATATCATCACTGAAAAATACAGGCGACATAAAACACCGCCGAATTCAAAATACCCGGACAAAAATCTCCAGAAAATAATCAAAATGTGCACACTCGGCACGTCAATAACATACGAAAATCACGCGGTAAAAACTGAACCAGCCGGAAAATACGGACGAAATTAGCTAACAAAAACGAAATCCGGACAGAAAAGTCGTTCAAATTGCACCGTTCTGAAAATTGAGAAAGGCGGAATGTGCCTTACCTTGCGTACAACACTTTACTGAACTGTCACGACGGACGAAAACGGTCCGGTGTCGCCCGAAAATCAACTTTTTCAAATTTGCTCTCGACCTTCTCTCTCCTCGGCTGATTTTAGATATTTATTTTGATTTTCTCTCTCTTCAAAATGACCTGATTTCAGTTTTAAAATACTCAGATCGGCCTGGCCGATTGCACGATCGTCCTGGACGATCAGACCAATATCACATCATCCTGGCCGATTTCGCAGGACGATCCAGGACGATAATTAATTTGCAAAAACCCCTTGCTCTCTGACTTGTGCCATCCACTGATCGTCCCGGGACGATGCCTCGATTGGCCTGGACGATAAGACCAAAAACCCATCGTCCTGGCCGATTCCCTGGACGATCCTCAGGACGATAATTAATTCTGAAAAAGTTCTGCTCTCTGTCTTTTGCACTGAATTGATCGGCCTGGGACGATGCCCCTATCGGCCCGACCGATCTTGGGAGGAAAATCACGTGGAGCAATCTGGGCAAATTCTGGAGCAAAACTTCAACTGATCGTCCTAGGACGATCCCAGATCGTCTTGGACAATCCTGGAGCAGAAACAGAACTTCACAATCTCCCCAACTTCGAAAAAATGTCGTCCTCGACATTGTCCAATCCAAACGACGTCAGAACAAGTACGGGTATGACTGTCTCATGTCAGACTCCTTCTCCCAAGTAGCTTCCCGTGAAGTACGGTGCTTCCACTGGACTTTAACCATCAGAATCTGTTTACTTCGTAGCTTTCGGACGTCGTACGCTAAAATCAACTCTGACTCTTCCTTGTACGCCAGATTCTCCTAAATCTCAACCTCATTAGCTGACAACTTCTTCCTAGAGTCAGATACCCATTTCCTTAAAGTGGATACGTGAAACACGTTATGCACGTCAGGTATCGAATCAGAAAGCAACAGTCGGTAAGCAGATTTTTCAATCCTTTCCAGGATTTCAAAAGGTCGTGAGGTATGTTGGACCTTGAACTGAACTTGCTCACCCTTCCAAAGTCTAGAAGTAAATCGTCCGTCTCGATCAGATACGATCACTTTAGGCACACCGTGCAATCTGATAATTTCCTTCACATAGACCTATGCCAAGCGATCCACCCGATCTGTCTGTCTGATCGGAAGAAAATGGGCGGACTTCGTCAGTCGATCTACAACCACCCAAATGGCGTCGTGTCCTTGTCTAGATCGAGGAAACCCCATCGCAAAGTCCATCGTTACCTCCTCCCACTTCCACTAAGGGATAGGCAACGACTGCAACAGTCCACCTGGTCGCTGATGCTCTGCCTTCACCAACTGACAGGCCTCGCATCTCGACACAAACTCTGCCACATCCTTCTTCATCCCAGGCCACCAGAACAAAAGCTTCATGTCAGCATACATCTTACCACTGCCTGGATGAATAGTGTAGCCTGAATGATGAGATTCGTACAGAATCTCCTGCCTCAAATCTCCAAACACAGGTATCCATAACATGTTCTTGTAGAAAATAGCAACAGAATCAGAAATTTGAAGTTCATGAGTCTTAACAGATCCAATCTGAGCAATCAACTTCGAATAGTCAGAATCTGACTTCTGGGCTTCTTAAATCCTTGCTTCCAAAGAAGACTGAATACGCAACTGAGCCAAATCCAAACCACTGGAGGAAATCACTTCCAACTTCAATCGCTCCATGTCTCAAATCAGAAAATCATCAAAAGTGAGCTGCAAACCTGATAATCCAGAAGACTTCCTGCTCAGAGCGTCCGCTACCACATTAGCCTTCCCAGGCTGATATTGAATGGTCAAATCATAGTCCTTGATCAACTCGAGCCATCTTCTCTGTCTCAGATTCAGATCCTTCTGAGTGAAAATGTACTTCAGGCTCTTATGATCAGTAAAAATCTCACATCTGACGCCATACAGGTAATGACGCCAAATCTTCAAAGCAAACACAACTGCAGCTAACTCCAGATCATGCGTCGGGTAATTCTTCTCATGTGGTTTCAACTGTCTAGAGGCATAAGCAATTACATATATATGTGATATATTTGACTTTAAAATTATGTATGAGTGTTAGGAATGTAATGTTAAGATTTTATGTATTAGATATGTAAATAGTATAAAATAAAATAATATGTATGTAAATCCCCTTAATTTTATAACGAACTAACGGCTTAAATATTGCATTACATTGTCAAATAATTTCGCATGATTTGGATTTGATAAATCCTCCATAGCTTAATCCCTGTTGGTTGTTGAATTATTCGTCGTTACTTTCGATCCAACAGAAGAATGACGAGGAGGTGTGACTTTGGATCCGACGAGAAGGAACGTTGTTGAATTAGGCGAAGCAGCGAAGTTGAACAGCAATGAACAGCCGGAGAAGAGGAAAAGCAAATCGAAGCAAACCTGCGGGCTACGGCTACAGGAAGGTAGTAATTAACAAGTATTACCATACTGGTAGAGAACATAGGAATAAATTAATTTAGTTTAATTACTTTAATTAAAATTAATTAATAAATAATTAATAGTTTACATTAATTGATAATTAACTTAAATTCTAATTATATTATTTATAATCGTTACTTAGTAATGGTAATTAAATTCATAATTAATAACTAACTCATAAAAATTAATAAAATATAATCAAAATTAAAATTTATAAGTTATTTCATAATTAGTAACTTTTTAATTATAATTTATTGATAATAATTAAAGTTCTAATTTATAACTAATTTATACTTAAAATATAAATTAAAGCTAAAATACAAAACAATAATAAACTAACCATCTTAAATCCTAAATTACATTGTCAAAGAATTCTACAAAATTTAATAGGATTTAATATTAGTCTTGCCAAATAGTTTTCGGGATTTAACTTTAGCAAGATTTATCAAATTTATTAAATTCTACTCAAGTTAAATCCTCATTGTTGCCAAACAGCACCTAAATCAAATTTACGAGATTTAGTCAAAGTCCCCTGACTGCGATTCTTCGCCTCATTCATCCAGCTATGATCCTCTGATCATTATCGCCCGACTATCAAAATTTACTCGCCACTTAAACTTATTAACAAAATAGTTAAGTAAAGGCATATATAAATATAAACACAGGGTGGAATCACCTGATCTACTTAATTTGAATTGATGCAAGTTCGACACATCAAATATTATTTCTCAAAATCTAACGTCCTGATTCATGTCAAATGTGAGTGACAATAGCGTTAATCCATCTAAAAATTTTGCAACTAAAATTTGGAATACTTGTAAAATTTTTGCTATGGTTTTCATCTTTATTGCAAGTTGCTTCTCCGACACATTGAAGGTTGATACATCATCAAAAAATTAACTTGATCAGGCACAAATCGCGAGGCAAAATTAAGTTAGAAACTTTTGAAATTAAAAATTGGGACCATCCGAACTCCGATTTTAACAAATTTATTGTCAAATTGAACGTCTCGGAAATTAAAGCCCAACGACATCAAATTTGACTCAATCCGAGCCCAAATGAGTCTTAATCGAGGACTCAAAGCACAGTTGGAAGGTTCAAACCACAATTTGGATCGTCAAACAATTTCCAAACATGACATGCTTCTAGTCGAATCGAGTGGCTCGACGAGATGAATCAACGAGCCCAAGATCGCAGAATTCCGACATCATTAAAACCTTTAAATGTCTAGCGAATGATCACGATTAAGGCATTCAATATCGGTCCTGCATCCAAACCACTCCCTATTTGCCCTTAATCCTCCTCCTATTTACGGGTCATGCCACTCTAGAAAATCTATAAATAGACCCCTCCTCCTTCTTGAAAGAGGGCTCTAAGCAAGAGAGCAAGAGAGAGATCAGAGGTCGCTCTTGCCTCCTCGCTCCTCCTCAATCATCGCTTGAAGTTCCGCCGGACCACCACTTGAAGCCCTGAGCTTCACCGGACCACCGCCTGATGCCCGGAGTTCTGTCGAACCACCACCTAATGCCAAGAGTTCTGCCAGACCACCACCTGACGCATGAAGTTCTGCCGGACCACCACTTGACGCTCGAGTTTTTTCAGACCACTGACTGATGCCCGAAGTCTTACCGAACCACCACCTGACGCCCGGGGTTCTGCTAGACCACCACCTGACGCACGAAGTTCTGCCGGACCATCACTTGACGCCCGGAGTTATGCCGAACCACCATGTGATTCCCGGAGTTCTATCGAACCACCACCTGACGCCCGAAGTTCTGCTGGACCATCACGTGATGCCCAGACTTCTGTCGGACCACCACCTGAGGCCCGGACTTCTTCCAGACCACTACATAAGGCTCAGAGTTTTGTCAGACCACCACCTAACGCCCGGAGTTCTTCCGGACCACCACCTGACACCCGAAGTTCTGCCGGACCACCACGTAACATCCGGAGTTCTACCGGACCACCACCTGAGGTCAGAACTTCTGCCGGACCATCACCTGAGGCCTGAACTTTTGGACTACCACCTGAGACCCAAACTTCTATCGGACCACCACCTAATGCCCCGGAGTTCTGTCGGATCACCACATGAGGCCCGGACATATGCCAGATCACCACCTAAGGCCCAGACTTCTGCCAGAACACCATCTGAGGCCCCGGCTTCTACCAGATCACTACTTGAGGCCCCGACTTCTGGTGTGCAATGACCTGACGCCCAAAGTTCTACCAAAGTACCGCACTACTAGTATGGTCTTTCGAACTCCTATCTCATATTGACTACGATCCTTTCGACCTTCGTCACCTACTACGATCCTTCCGATCTACATCATTATACAATGGACTTTTTGACCTCGATCTCCTGCCAAATTCGGTCTTTCGAACCTCTATCCCTCGCCGATTACGATCCTTCCGACCTCTGTCTCCTACTACGGTATTTCCTATCTCCATCACCAAACAACAATATTTCTGACCCCAGTCTCCTATTGACTACGGTCCTTCGGACCTCCATCACTGGACAACGATCTTTTTTACCCTGGTCTCCTTCCTATTACATCTTTCCGACCTCTTTCCTATCAACTATGGTTATGCCGACCAAACAAACATGTCTATGTTGATTATTGTAGCTCCCACCATATAATGAGCTCTATATGATGTACATTAGTGACATCAAGCCAAAACCTTCTCTCAATGAAGGGCCTCATTTGTTCAAACTGGGTCAGGCCCTGTGGTTTTCCCCCATTTTCAGAGATTTCCACGTAAAAACTCTGGTATTTCTTATGAACGATACATTATTTCTTTCATATACTTATATGCTAGATCTTCATACAAGACTAAGATATTAAACTATATATATATGCATGCCAATCTTGGAGATTTGCTTGGTTGAGCTGCTCGAGCACAAGATTAATCCTTGATCTCCTATAAAAAATTACAAGCGATATCTTTGGCGGTGGACACCTTCGACCACGACGATCGAAGGTGAGCACTAGTCTCTAGAGACGGATCGGTGAGCCTCCCTCGCTCTATACATTCGTTTCTTCTCTCCTTTATTCTTTATGCTTCTTTGATCTGATATGCCCCAGCAGGCACTCATCTTGAGAACCTTCTTTGCCTCCCCGGCCAACGACAACTCCGCCGACATCTTCTGCCGTCTCCTAGATATATCTAAATGCTGTAAAAACTAAAAAGTCTTCCTTGGCAGAGCTATTGCCAGAAACCTCTTCTTCGTCGCCTCGTTTTTTTCCGGTCCCACTCCATAGAAGCGATAGAAAGCTCGCTAGTAACCTTCTTCCCTTTCCGCACCTAAGGTGAAGTAGCACTGTCAAAATAGAGTCAAAGGTTGTGTTCGGGTTGAATCTGGAACGTACGCGACATCAATTGACTCAATCCTAACCCGACCCATTTTTACAAAATGATTAGATATTTTAACTTGAACTCGACCCGCACTGGTACAAGGTTGACTTGATCCAACCGACGGACATGTTTTGAGGTGGGCGACGATGTAGGCGATGACGCGGGCTGTGGACAGAGCAGGGTACTTACAATGAGCTCTTCGCTGACGGCGGCACGACATGGCACGGTTGGAATGTCATTGAATGATGTGTTGGAGTGTTGGATGGCAGATTCGTGTGCGAGACAGCGAGGCAGTGACGGTATGTGACTTGACAAGAAGAGACACAGGCAAACACGATGCTGTCACGCAGGCAGACACGATCATCGAAGGTCAATCCGGGTCATTCCTGAATTTCTGGGTCAACCCGACCCGATGTTTGAAACGAGTCTGTTTGTTGAACTTGAACCCGACCAGTTTCATAAACGGGTTGACCATAACCTATAATTTCAGGTCGTGTTCGAGTTGAATTTTTGAGCCGTGCAAAATATTGACATCACTACCCTGAAAGCGAGTCTTCAACTGGGGCTTGTTGCGGCTCCTTTCCCACACTTCTCATTCCCTAAATCTTGTAAATCCGTTGCTCCCAAATTTAGTAAATCTAGTATTTAAGGCGAAACGATAACGGAAGGGAATTCAACTAGGATTTCTTAAATCTTCTAAAATTATATTTACTAAAATTTGAGAGAGTTAAATTCTATAAATGATTTGATCAGAAATACCTTAAATTCATAAATTATATGAGATTGTTAAACAATATTATTCAGGATTTAATATGGTTTTTTTTTAAGGATTTAATATGGTTAATTCAAATGACATTTTTTGTTTTAAATTTGTGTTATTAATTAATTTTAATTTTAATTAACATCCGATAATTATAATTTTATATATTATTTTTATAAGAATTTAATTATTAATTATACTTATAATTATTTAATTATTCAATTAAATATTTTATTACTAATTAATTATTCAATTAATATTTACACTACTAATCACCTTTAAATTAGGTTAATTAAGCTAATTAAATTAATGCTTAATTGATATATTAAGATTTAATCTAATCCTCATAGGCGAGTCAGCTTTCCTCTTCAATTTTTTCGTTGCCATTCGCGCGCGGCAGAGCTGACCTCGTCGGCTTCGTTTGTTCGCGGGGGGTAGAGCTTCGAATGATTCGCTTGCCATTGCCTGTCTAGGGTTTGCTTTTCCTCTTATGCATTTATTTGTTTCTGTTCTGCTTCGCGTAAAGTAGAGTTCTTAAAGAGTCGAAGCTTCTCCGCCTCCTCCTCCGACGTTGTTCTTGTCGGATCGGAAGTCGCTTTGAGAGCTTGCCGCGAAGGTAGCGATATTTCTTCCCTTTCGCGCGCTTCTTCGGTCGGATTTATAAATTCCGCAAAAAAGCTGGATTTACGAAATCCGGGATTTAGGACAAAAATAGCGAAAATGCCGTGAAGTAGAAATTAGACTTACCGTGAGATTTAATTTTGTGTTTTTTACTTTTTTGGCGTTTGGCAGGATTTAACTCAAATCCGGTGTAAATCGGGCATCCAAACAGGCCCTTCGCTGTTTGGCAGGATTTAGGATAAATCCTGCATCCAAACAGCTCCCTAATGAGCTGGTTTGGGATGGATGCAAGAAGCATATGAAGCTCTCATATGTCACCGGAGGATGAAAGGTTTTTTGATAGCGTCTAGCATCATGAAAAATATGTTGAAACTGAGACTTGTTTTATGAAATTCCTGTCTGTATGAATAATTGCATGTTGTAAAATGGCTTGAAGGTTGATACATCATCAAAAAATTATCTTGATCGCGCACGAACCTTGAGGCAAAGTCAAGTTATAAACTTTTGAAATTAAAATTTGGGACCATCCGAACTCTGATTTCAACAAACTTATTGTCAAATTGAACGTCTCGGAAATACAAACTCAACGACACTAAATTTGACTCAATCCGAGCTCAAATGAGTCTGAATCGAGGACTCAAAGCGATGTGGAAGGTTCAAACCACAATTTGGATCACAAAACGATTTCCAAACATGACATGCTTCTAGTCGAATTGAGTGGCCCGACGAGACGAATCCAACAAGCCCAAGATCGTAGAATTCCGACATCATTAAGACCTTTAAATGTCTAGCGAATGATCATGATTAAGGGATTCAATATCAGCCCTGCATCCAAACCACTCTCTATTTACCCTTAATCCTCCTTCTATTTACTGGCCATGTCACTCTAAAAAATCTATAAATAGACCCCTCATCCCTCTTGAAAGAGGGCTCTAAGCAAGAGAACAAGAGAGAGATCAGAGATCGCTCTTGCCTCCTCGCTCCTCCTCAATCATCGCTTGAAGTTCCACCAGACCACCACTTGAAGCCCTGAGCTTCACCGGACCACCGCCTGTTGCCCGGAGTTCTGCCGAACCACCACCTGACGCCCGGAGTTCTGCCAGACCACCACCTGACCCATGAAGTTCTGCCGGACCACCAACTGACGCTCGAAGTTCTGCCTTTGTACCATTGACTTATGATATTCAATTATTATTTATCCCATGCACTCCACTATTTTAAATACCACTCCTAGTTTAGGATGGGTTGAGAAAAGTTGTCAACTGTTGGTTGGGAGTAGGGGTGTTAATAAGTAACTGACTTAAAACAATAACTCAATCAAAAGAAAATACGAAAAATCCGGGCTTGGGTTGACTTGATTAATACTCTAGTCTTGGTCTGAAATGTTGACCTGATTAATTTTGCGTTATGTATGGGTTGACCAGATAATTAAAAATTGACTTAATTATCATTTAGGTTTGGGTTAAATGGGTCATATCTTGTTAAATGTTTCATGTTGATTAAAAAAAATTTAATCTGTATAATAAATGGGACAAATATGAGTCGGTTTTGGGTTAAACATTTTAACTCGTATGATAAATGAGCCGGCCTAGCATGTTCGGGTCAAATTAAGTTTAGGTTAGACTCAGAGCCGACCTACCAACTCGAATTGACACCTCTAGTATATTCATATGGTTCCCTCTCTTGTATTGTTCCTTTTGTCCAAATCCACCCCCCCCCCCCCCCCCCCCACACACACACACACAACCATCTCCAATGACAGTTGAGTCGACAATGGTAATGGATTAGCCATCATCAAGGACTATTCCATTGAGCTTGACGCTAGAGGCAAAGTTATCAGCCCCAGTTAGCCTTGATTGTAGTCCACTAGCTCCCAAAATCATTTGAAGCCACCCATCATCTACTCTGGTAGCCACAACCTGCTCATTTTCTCTTTTAGCAATGGCATCATGGAGGTAGTCACTGCTTTCGTCCACACTAGATGGCAAGGACAAAGATTTTGTTGACGTTGGATCGGATGGCAGCAAGTTCAATGTTGTCATCAATGTTGAAGCTAGGTTAAGCTACCAAATTGTTTAATGAGATGTAGCTAGATTAATACTTGAATGACAATTTTACTTCTTGAATCCCAAGAGATTTGTATTGGCAGGGCTCTTGAATGTCGTTGGATCCACCATTCAAAATCATTGACACTTCTTGATTGGCTTAAATCAGAGTCAGATAAAATTAACATATCTAAGCTTCCATATTGGAAGGCAATTGGTGTTTGTTGTATACTATGATGCATGCCCAATTCAGCATTGTACTTATTTTTGGTTTAATTAAATATTTCCAGAGTAGTTCAGGTCCAGCTAATTGGCAAGCTCTAAAGAGGATCTATAGATACCTTTGGGGTATTACTGGCCTAGTTTTGTGTTATTCTGGTAGAGATCTAAGATTAGTTGGCTACATGATTCTGGATTGGTTAAGGATTTTCTAAGATGTGAGGGTTTAGAAATACTTGCATTGAATTTGATGTTTTCTGACGAATATGCAAAATTGACTGTTAATTTGATTCACTCTTTTTTGTTTTTTGCCTTTTTTTCTTGATGTTTGCAGCATGAAAGTATGGAATGAAAATTGATACTCATGTGCAGAAGTGGTAGATGTTGGATTCCTGGTTATTCCCAATCTCTAGAACTGGGAGATGTTAGAATTTGGGTTTGTCTTAAGTTTTTTTCCTTATTAGACTTGGTCCTTACCCATCCTTATCCTCATGGTTGAGGTTTAGGCTTGGTTTGGGATGAGTTTCTTACTGCTTCTTAAAGTACTTCATTTGGGATGGCTTTCTTACTGCTTCTTAAAGCACAATCTTTTATTACAAGAATTTAAATTTTTGCACTAAAATACTGATTTAAGAAGCAGTAAGAAAGCTGTGTCCCAAACGAAGCCTTATCATGTAAGGTTTTTGTGTTTTATCTTCGTAATTATAGGTGAAGTCCAAAATGATGAAGAAAACGATGTTCGGAAGTGAATAATTAATTTAGGGTATTTATATTATTTAAACATTTTCTTCAGTTCATAACTTACCTACATTTCTGTCCAGCAAATCTTTTTTAAATTCATTATGGGGCTATTTCGTAGCAAGATTTAGACCGGATTTAAGGCATATTTGAGTGAAATCCAACGAAACGGCCTAAAACGCAAAACCAAATCTCACGGCGAATGAAATTAGCTGTAGACGGAAAATTCCGTCTTTTCATGCTAAATCCCAGATTTTTGAAATCCATTGGCTCGAGAGGAAGAGTCCGCTCGTTAAATCCGCTCTATAGCCAAACAATTACATGGGATTTAATAGGATTTACCATGAATGTTACCAAATAATTTTCAAGATTTAGGCCCCTCTGGTTTTCCGAAATATGAATTTAGCAGATTTACGAAATCCTGGGTGCTACCAAACAACCCCTATAAGTTTTTTCTCTGAGAAAGCAAGATGGGAAGCCGATTCTTACTTATCAAACTCAATTACATTGTTCAATTTATCTTTTCAGACTTGCCAATGATCTCTCTTAAAGACATAGTCCCTGCTGCTACCAACACAATAACCACACAGTTTATACTCCTTGATAAGGGAAATATTGGCCAGGATGGGAAGGAGACGACATGCCTAGCTCTGGTTGCCGACGAGACGGCTTCCGTCCACTTCCAGCTATGGGGCGACGAGTGCCATTTCTTCGAGCCCGGCGACATAATTCATCTCACTAATGGCATCTTCTCTTACCACAGGAGCAATCTTGTGCTGAGAGCTGGAAAGAAAGGTAGAGCTGAGAAGGCTGGGGAGTTCAATATGTTGTTTGTTGAGACTCCTAATATGAGTGAGATCAAATGGGCCAATGATCCCACCAATCCTAGAAAGTTTGTGAAGGAAGCTGTTCTTTCCTCTCACTCCAGAATTTTCCCGACTTTGCCATGAATATTTGTGGATCAATTCAGTTCCAGATTTCCTTTGAGTTGATAAGAATTCTAATTGATGTCTGTTATTTATGAGATCTGTAACAAATTTTATTAAGGTTAAACTCTTAAATATCGAGATATTTTTTTGTGTAATGGCAAATTTTGAAGTTAAGTGTGTTTCTGCAAGGGAAATTTTAGGACGGGTGATTTCTTAGGAAGTTACACTGACGGATAAAATCGTGAAGCTATTTGGTCAAAACAGACAAAGTTTCGATAATTAAGAGTTTGAGCTGATACAAGTAGGTAGAGCTTTGGAATTCTTTCTTTTAACTCATTCCTATGAATATGTAGTAGTATGATTTATTTATAAAAATTTTTTGTGAATGTTTTTATTATTTCTATCTGGAATCAATACATTGCATTGGATAGGCTGACTTGATCTCTCTTGATCATTTGATATTTTTTTGGAATATCATAGTACATTAATGTCCAAGAATAGGTACAATTATTTAGTCCGGTGAACGTACGCTCCTCTACGTTCGGCCACCAATGTTATAACGCCACGTATACGTTCGGCCACCAATGTTATAACGCCACGTAGCATGAAGAAAAGTCGCCGACCCGACCCGCTGTGTTTTGGGTTTTCGCACGTGTTAAAATTTAAATGACAAAAAAAATGGAAACATTTCGAAGTGCGACACTACACTTATCACCTAGAGATCAAATATGTGTATAAAAAATAAAATATTAAAATTTATATAGTGATATGAGTGATATAAATGAAATATAAAATTATTATATTTGATATTAAAATTATCTATTAGTAATAGACACGAAATATTAAAATTTCAAAGGGTTAAATATATAAATAATATGACATAAAGAGGTATGTGTGATTCGGCGGTACAGCTCACCTTCGAGTCCTCCAGATGGTAAGCCCAGCTGCGCTCTCGCTCCGTCCTAGTTTCCCGCCTCCCTCGAATGCTTGTCAATCGCGTCTTCGAAGCCCTTCTTTCGCCGTGGCTGTGAAGGGTGGGAAGAGAGGCGAAGATGACTACCATTCAACCCTCAAAGCTCTCAATTCAAGAGGCCGTATCGTCCCTAGAAAATCTCTTGGACAGGCAGGATACCCTCCTCCTCCGTGTCTATTGTTATCTAAATTTTTTTCAAATTAGTGTGGTTTTCTAATGCCGGTTGTTTTCTATCTGTTGTAATTGCAGCATTACATGTTAAATTCTAGCATTAATGACCAGCTCTCGAGCATAGCAGGAGTCGTGGAAGGAGATGTGGTTCTGGAGATAGGGCCTGGAACCGGATCTCTGACGAACGTTTTGATAAATGCTGGCGCCACCGTCATTGCAATCGAGAAGGTTTTTGCTGATTTTTTTCTTTATTAGTTTTTTTTTTTTAATTTGATATGTTTTATTACCTAATTGTTCAGATAGGAAATGCCTTCTGCAGACCTTGAACTTGATGTGTTTTACTGCTTCATGGAAATAGATGTCGTTTGGTTTGATTCGGTTACAATTGAATAGATTCCATGCTAGTTGTGTTGGAATTGGTCTTCATGTTTTAGTTTAGAAGGGTTATTCTACCTAGTAAATCGATTTCACTCTTTACTTTATCATTCCAGGACCCACGTATGGCTTTGATGGTGAAGGAAAGGTTTGGGTGCTCGGATCAACTTACGGTAATATTTGCTTTATTTGTTGTGTTTGAAGAGTTATTAGTTAAGAAACTGGTTAGGCTTAAGGTAACAGGGATAGAATTGAAGTGAGGTCAAGATAAAAGGTTTTATCAATTTGACATGCAAATGGAGCATATCAAATAATGCTTCAAAGATGCATGGATTTTACACACATAATGCCACCGTCTTTCAAAATTCTCTTACGAGTCACAATCATCTATGAAAAAGTTATTAATCTAAAGTGATGTGAGATTATTTTTTTATTTTCGTATGCTGACCCTGATTTTCTAGCAATGCTACTGTCTTTCAAAATTCTCTCACTTCTTTCTCTCTCTTCCCATCCTCCTTCAAACCTTTGTAGCTCCTTTCTCCTCCCTACCTCCCTTTGGGACTTACAGTCTTGCATTCTAATGGGTCGGGAATCTTTCTTTATTCTTAAGTTCTCAATTTAACCTTACTCACTCCTCTCTCTCCTCATTTTCTTCTCCCCAAGAAAAACTAACCAAAGATTTGACGCCTCAAATGTGCATGCGACTAGAGGCTTCTTAGATGTTAATAGGCTTAGGGGAGGTGAATGACATGCTTTTAATGAGAACTTTAGAAGTTCTTAAAAGAAGGGGCAGAATGGTGGATTCATGGATATTTATCTATGGATTTGTGATCACACAAATCTGATAGTCCAAGGAGTGATGCTTTCATCTTTATCTATCTCATTTATCTCTTAGGGACAAGGGTCCCAAGCTATCTTGCACCTCTCCCCATTAAGGTTGGTGATGACAACTTTTGGTTGGCTGCCACCGTCGCGCTCTCCTTACACATTCGAGAATGAGTTTGGGAGGTCATTACTTAATTAGCTCACTAGGCAGCCTTATGTGCTAGGCTTGGATGTGGCATACCTGGTCAAGTCAAATGCATAAAGGGTCTAGCCCAACGACTTTAAAGAAATTGCATTTTTGCAATCATGCCCCTATTCCTTCTGAAAATTTATTTTAGTTCTAAAGCCAATTTAAGCAACTAGTGCTTAATTTTTTGCAATAAAGGACTCTTACTTTTAAGATTTCATGATAGTTGCTCTACTAAATGAATTATTTGCCATTTTCATCCAATTCAAAATTTATATAGGTAGCTAGGGGTTCATATTTCTTATTTTTAATTTATGCACCATTCATTAAAAAGTTATAAACAAAATGCTCATTTTTATTTAATATTTTTAAATATAGGTTACATAAGATGGTTATGGGAGTGACCTATTAACCACTTAGCAATTAGCAGTGTTACGAGAATGACCAAGGAGAGTGAATGCAAAATCTTATGGGGAAATTTTGAAGAGAAGACTCAAAAAAAAAAAAAAATGATTCTCAAATTTCATCCAAAGATGCATCTACAAGAGCATTTCTTCAAGATCTTTGTCAATGTATTTGAAGAATTGCCCCCTCCCATTTTTGCTCTCACTATGAATTGTTGTTCTTTTTTTGTTGTTTGCCAGAGCTATTCATCTCTAACAATCTTTTACCATACAAGCCAAAGTACTTGTATCCATTTGAAAAAAAATTGTATTGCCAATAGTTCAGTTGGCTAGAGTCGCATCATCATTTTGAATGCTTCGGTGGCAACATTATTAACGCTCATCTAATTGGTTGGAGGGTAAATAGTTTTGTACTGAAGTTTTTTAATTTTTATATGATCAGGCCTTATAGGTCTTGCCCTACAAGATTTTCTAAAATTTTATTTTTTACTTCGTTTGCACCTGGCATTCTAGATTTAAGATGAGCATAAATGTTTTGCACCTTTTGATTTTTGAATTTTTTCCTGCATGCAAGAATAGTGATATGTAATATAAAAAGGTGGTTTCTACATATATTTAACTTTTTTTTTTTTCAAATATTATTCTTAATATCCCATCCGTCCCTTGGCGCTTAATCCCACGACCAGGATGAGAATCCATGGGGGGCTCATATGGATCATGTCGATCTCTATTAAATCCCAGCCTTCCCTTGACACTTGATCCCACAGTCAGGATGAGAATCCAAGGGTTACTCACCTGGATCACACCAATCTCCTTCTATATTTGGGTGGCTAATTTAGGAAGAATTATATTAAGGCAATTATGCATGATTATGTAATTATTTATTTCTTTATTAAGATATCATATATAAATTTAAAAAGAGCTATAGTTTTGTCTAATAAAATTAAGTATTTTTCCTCACCAATTCTATGAATTTAGCATGGTATCAGAGTAAGGGATTCAATTCTTCTTCAAAAACGAGAGCGTGAGAGAGGAAGAGTTAGTTCTTGCATTCTTTTCCTGCTTACGTGCGTCCAGGGCAGCCGAGCAAGTGAGACGGCTTACCCCTTACGGTCTTCTGTGTGCAACTCCCGTGCGTGCATATCTGAAAGCCGAACCAAGTGAAGAAGAGGATCAAGAGAGGGAGTGAGCAGGAACCAGGTGTGTGTGTGCCTGTGCAGGGAAGATTGGCCCTCGTGCTTGTGCTGGAGCCGAACCGAGCAAGGAACGAGCAGTTGAAGAGCTGTTGTACACACCATCAAATTCTCCACTCGAAGAGCCCATCCTTGCCCCAAATCTCAACCATTTCTGCATGTTCTCTATCTGCTAGCCTCAAATATGGGAGATATATAAGAAGGTCGAAGCCTCCTTTTGGACAACAGAAGAAGTCGACCTCTCCCAAGATCCCCGCCACTGGGATCAATTCTTCAAATCGGACGAACGTCACTTTGTAGGCCACATTATTGCCTTTTTCGCAGCTGCTGACGGAATCGTCATTGAGAACCTTGTCGATCGGATTTGAACTGAAGTTGGTTCACTGGATTCGAAGCTCGCTGATGGAACTATCCTAATATGTGGAGTTGCCCAGATGATGCACGCGGTGGTGAAGATGGCTTTCTTGGTGGTAAGACAGTTCACTGCTACGGTTCAGTGCGCACTTACGATGACTGAAGAGTTGGTGAGCATGCAAATGGTGAAGTACGCTATTCTCTAAGTAGGGAGTTGATCGTGGATATCGAGGGTGAGGCTATAGAGAGATTAGAAGCACTTTATCCTACCTTGAAGGAGGTAGTGCTTGTTGGTTGTCCAGGTTCCCACCACTGACCTTTATTGTTGAAATTCAGAGGAATAGTAGTTCTTCCACCGGCTTTCATTGCCGAAATTTTTAGGAATACATGTACCCACTACCGGCCTTCATTGACAAAATTCTGAGAAATATTAGTCCTTCCACCGTCTTTCATTGCCGAATTTTTGAGGAATACAGGTTCCCACTATCGGCCTTCATTGCTAGAATTATGAGGAATGCAGCTTCCCACCACCGACCTTCATTATTGGAATTATGAGGACCTTCGTGCATCCAAGATCAAGAAGAGATTGAGTGGGAGGCTGCTCTTGCTTGCGACATCTAGAGTTGACCGAGCAGAAGCGAGCACAGGAACTTCTTCTGCGTGTGTCTAGAAAGATCCAAGAGTTTCCTCTCATACGGGGGTACGAACAAGCAAGAGTGCAAGACCTGCACTCCCTCCTATGATCATACCAGAGAGATGAGACCTGTACTGGTTGATCGAACAAGATTCTGTTCAGGAGGAGTTGGATGACCTGGGAAGGAGATCTGCATTTTGAGTGTTGAGCCGGTTGAGACGCGTGTTTCTGCTCCTGTCCTTGAAGCTTGCCACAACCCTAAAAATATTTTTTTTTACTTTTTTTTTTATTGTCATGCCTTCATTGCTGGCCTTCCCTTGAGAATCGAAAAGGAGGTGAACCCAAAAGACAAGTAATCCACTTTCCCTGTTATCCCATCACCGGCCTTTAATAAAGAATTGAAGAATGCTATTCAACGCAGCCTTCATTATTGACCTGCACCTTCTAGGCTTGATTGAGATAGCCTTCATCGCTATCCTTTGCCTCAAAAATATTTGAAGCTAATTCCTCTCAAAGCTTTTACAAAATGAAGGACTCTATAGTGCACCACGGGATTGATAACTCTATTTTTCTGGGGCTAATTACCAAGCTAAGAATGACATATATGTATTCCCCAGCTTGAGAGGAAGTGTTAAAATCCCAACCGTCCCTTGACACTTAATCCCACGGCCAGAATGAGAATCAATGGGAGGCTCACATGGATCACGTCGATCTCTATTAAATCTCAGTCTTCCCTTGACACTTAATCCCACGACCATGATGAGAATCCAAGGGTGACTCACCTCGATCACATTGATCTCCTTGTATATTTGGGTGACTAATTTAGGAAGAATTATATTAAGGCAATTATGCTTAATTATGTAATTATTTGTTTCTTTATTAATGTATCACATATAGATCTATAAGGAGGAATAGTTTTGTCTAATAAAATTATGACTTTTTCCTCTCCAATTCTCTGAATTTAACAATTATTCATTTGTATTAGCTTACCCACTACACCAACACATAGAGTTACGCCATATTATCAATTGGATATATGTCATAAAAGCATTAAATATGAAACGATTTTGTCTATTTTATTACATCTTAACCGATCACTTTTCACTTCTAAAATTTATTTATGTAGATTCTGCAAGAAGACATTACTAGGTGTCACATCCGTTCTCATGTTAGCGCTTTATTGGAAAGAGTTGATACAAACGGATTAAAGTATGCAAAGGTAAGAAACTTAACAAATTAGCATGCTAAGGTTTCCGTGTTCCTCTTGGACTAACCTTTGTGACAATTTTTTTTTCTTGTGGTACCAAATCACATTTGAATGATCTTTTGCTCAATAAATTTAATTTAAATCAAACTTTTAAATGCCAATTCTATTTGATTGTGTTGCTTGGTATACACCATGAATTTCTGCTTGGCATGGGTAGGGCATGAAACGAGAAAACCAAAACTGCTTGTTTTTTTAGGATGTTGGATAATTAAATGTCCGAGCTGCTGTCATGGTATCTCAAGCGTTAGGCTTGGCATTGTGTACTTGAATCCTCATGAGAGCTAGATAATCACGCATTTTACTGAGAATTTGAGATGTTTCCGCACGTTTTTTGTAGATATTCTTTTCTTTCATGCATTACTACGACTTTGCCCATGCAGAGAATTTTAGAACTGTATTTGCTCCCGTTCATGTCTTGTCATATAGGCTGTTTAAGCTATTAAGAAACTCAGGCCCACGTCTTGATACATGGCTTCGTGATCTGATATTCTCGGGTGATTTTTTTAGGGATATTTACCCTGAAGTCAGAGGAGCTAGTCAGCTAGACCTGGATGTTTTGGTGAAGGTAGAGATTGAGAGTGGAATAGAGTTAGTGATTTTGGAGAGAAAGAAGATTGGGAGAGGAGTAGAGGAAGACAGGTGGGCAACATCACGCCTAGTAGGAAAAAAGAACTTTGAATACTGTCTGGGCCAGTAAGCATATAGAGAACTAGAGAATTTCTGTTGAACGGGAACATTCTATTTTTCAATAACATTGTTTGTTATGTTATTCGGAGAGTTTTATCAGAAGTTTAGATGTAAACCTCACTTCAGAATATTATGACAAACAAGTAAGGTCTGACATAAACAGCACATCTTACTTTTGTTAGGATCTCCATAACCAATACAAAAATAATTTGGACTTATGTCAATTTTTGATGTAAACTTGCAATGATTCAGAGCAATTTAGTCACTCCACAACTCTACTAATATTACGCACTCCTCCATTGTGCATATTTTTAGTAACATTAACATATTTTTGACATGTACATTTTTCCTCAATACTCACCAATCAATTATTATGATACTTGATTATATGCCATGATCAGTAAAATTCACGTGAAAATTCTTTAATATTAATTTTATCTACTTTAATTGGTGCATTTCTTACCCTCTGTTACACATGCTTAAACTACCTAAATTGATTTTCATTACTTTAACTTTAATAGATGTAAATCCCACCACTCATAATATAACATTTTTTATCCATAGTTCATATTTTTTCATATATCTAGTTTAATATTTTCGATTCTAACATGTTCAACTCATCCATCAATGATTTATTGATTGCTTAGAACTAAGATCAATAGAACATTACTTGTCGGACTGCAGTTTTATAAATTTCCTGTATGTCTATCTGATATCCTCTCATTATTTAGTACACTTAACACATTTCTTCATTTTTTATAAAAGACCTAGACTCTAGAAGTTAAGTCATTATCTAGTTGATTCATTACATTGTATAGTATATCTAAGGTACTTATATTTAGGTATATCTTTTTCTTCAAAGTAATATTATCTAGTAATAAATAATATCATACCCCTAAAATCACATGTCATATTATAAGTCTTTTTTCTACAACTTAAGCTCTTTTATTTTAAACAATTTTTTTGTTGTTATAATTTTCTACTTATTTTTGTAAAGGTTTTTTCCATTAGAACTATCTTATATTAAAAGAATATGCTAAGGTATCTCACTTTAATATTTAGAATCTCCATAATCTAATACAAAAAGTTTTGGGACTTGATATCAACGCTTGATGTAAACCTACCATAATTGGAGCTGTTTGCTCACTTTACAACTGCTGCTAATACTATTTATTTGAATGCCTTGTTATGTTTTTCTTATATTTTGTTTTGTCTGTATGAATTCTTGCTAGAATATATATCATAAGTAGCTTTTGGACGATTGCCAATTTGCATTTTTTTTTTTGGTTTTGCGTGGAGGCTGTGTAATAACTCGTATTTTGACCTAGACAAATAATTTTTTTTAAGAGTCATTATAAACTAAATTTGAAAACCGTCTTCGCCGTAGTATTTATATTGTAGTATTTTAATTACATGATTTTTTTTAATTTTTTGACACTGGTGTAAATTCTTAAGAAATTGATCCATTTTGGTATAAGTGAGGATTTTGGGACCGTCAAATGTCTGTTTTGGAAACCGATTTTACTAGTATTTTCTAAATAAAATGATTTATTTCATGGATATTTTTTTATAATTTTTAAAGCTAAAAAAGAATTTATATAATTTTATGCTGAAATTTTGATTAAATTATATAATTAAATAATATTATATTATAAATATCCTAATTTATTAACATACTTTTATTAAAGCCTTTTCCTTATTCTTTATTCGGCTAAGCAGCAACAGAGAAAGGAATTTAGGAATTTTGAGAGAATTTTGAGGAGAGAGAAAATAGAAGTGAGGATTTGAAGGCAGTGAAGCAATTTTGGCCACTCGGTTCTGTTGGGATAGTTGCTCATCTCGCTGTAAGGAACAGTTACCCTATTTCTGATTTCAATAATTTTGTGTTTTTGATATTTTTCTGATCAAATTTGTATTTTTATTATTGAAAAACAAAGATAATTTTGAAATATTCACCACGTAATTTTTTGTATGTGATATATCTCGTTAATATGAATTTTCACTTTTTAAATTGAAAGATATGATTTTTTTGAAGTAAATATATAGTAGATAAATTTGATATATATTCTTGCATTTTATGATTATTGCATTTCTTATATGTATTGACTTACTTTGCATAGAAAAGATAACGCTTGCATGTAAGCAAAGAAGGCTGGCTATTAACACTATAATAAATATGAGCTAGCTCTTAAACTATAATAATCTGCGCAAGGTGGGTCGACGGACTTTTCTTTAAATAAATTGTTAGTGGTGTAATCATAGTTGTAGCCTCTAACTGATTGACTAAATTACGCTGATGGGTAGAGGGTTACGCCTCTTAAATGATTATTAAAAGTCACTTATGAAAATTAATAAATTGAGAGATATGACAGATAATAGATGTATAGAAGAAAACACTACATTAAAGCTAAAAGTCATGCCTTATTTTTCATAATTTTACTCATGAGGATATTTATCTAATAGTACATTAAACTGATTGACTAACTTATATCTCATTCTGTTATTGATATTGATATAACATAACATAGCATATTGATATGATTTATTGGATGATAGTCTTTTTTTTTATTTTTCTTATTGTTTGATAATTGATAGATCTCTTTTGACTTTATTTATCATATTGATTTTATTATTGGTTTTAGAGATTTTTATTGCTCTTATTAAATGATGATGATGGGGACATCGACAAGAGTTTTCGACGCGTTTATCAGAGGCGACACAGGAGATCGATGGCTATGATGGAGAGTCTTTACTTTTGATGCATTTTCTATATTAACATTTTATGTACTAATCATGTTATTTCAGTTTTTCCTTTTTTTGCCCTTATGGGTAGTTGGTCGCTATTGTAGCCCAAGGGGCATTTTAGTCTTTTATTTTCTTTGTCATTTTGAGGCCTATATATATGGCCATTTTCTTATGTAAGAGGGTTGATTATTGATGAATGAAAAGTTATCTTGGCGATCTCTTTGTGAGTTCCAAAACTCCTCTATATCTCTTTGTGAGTTCTTGAAGAGAAAGCTCTTAGATCTCTTTGTGAGTTCTAGTGGAAAGTGTGAGGTTTGTGATTCTTGATTTCTTTTTCTTCTCCACCAATCTCCCCCCCCCCCCCTTCATCTCAAGAGAAGACAACCACACCCATTGGCTTGGAAAACCGACCCCCACCTCCTTGCCACTGTCCCTTGGAGCCCAAGCCGCCGGCTGCCATCCTACCACCGGCCAGCCACCTTGCTACCAACCCCCTTCCATCCACCCACCACCCCTCTTTCCTCTAGCCATCATTTTGAAATTCAAATTTCGAATTTCAAATTGAGAGTAATTTCAGATTTAGAATTAATCCCCTCCACCCCAACCTAACTTAGTTTCCACCAAGAAACCTAGCTTCTCCCCTCCACCTCTCCAAGCCGGCCACCATCTCTCCTTTCTTGGGTTTTCTTATCGTGCTCTCTCATCTCCATGCAAACCATGCATGGAGGAACCCGAATGGAACTTTGGATTTGTGCATGACGATCGAGATCAAGTCGACATCCTCCAATCGCCATTCTTTGACATGGTCTTTGATTTCGACGACACCGTTGAAGAATACATCGACCGTATCCAATACACCTTAGTTGATGTGATCGACGAGCGAAGGTCAAAGGGATGTTGGATCATCATTGGACGACCATCTTCCTCCAACCTTCCCAACAACGACGTTCCTCGGCTTGTCCATCCTAGTGGTTACTTCATTTCTAGCGTGGAAGATCTTTCTCCGCTCAACCTAGATTCGTAGGGAAGAGAATAAATCCTCAAAGGTAAACACCTCATTATTAACTTTTTGATTTGTGTTACAAGCTTTTACATTACTTCACATTGTATTTGATTGAAAGTGTCTTGGTTAATCTTCATGCAATTCATTGCCTAGGCAATTGGAAGACTGAGAATTCTTGTAACCTACTTTGAATTGACGCATCATTTTATAAAGGTGAAACTTCTATTAAATTCTCTTGATAATCTTGTGTAACTCCAAGCATGTATCACATCATTTGGTATCAAAGCATGGTTGCATGTCATGCATGTGCTAGAAGTTCCTAGGAGTCTAGTTAACCAATTGTGAAACTCGTTTGCATGCATACCATTGCCTACTTGTTTTAAATTCTCTGTTTGCATGCACGTTTTCATCATATTAAGCAATTATATTGCATCGTCTAAGTGCTGTCTTTGTCACTACAACTCCCCCAATTGCTTAGGTCACTTGCCAAACTATAAAACCTGCTGTCCAGAAATTC